CAGATCTTGCGTTCCGCGTCGTCACGACGTGTAGTTACATTTTTGAGGAGGTGCGCATCAGGCTACGGCAAAGGGTACGCGGTATGGTACATGTCTGGGCGTAACGCTGCCTTCACACTGGCAGTTGAAATCAGCTCCGTAATACGCAATACGTTCCCAACGGACGTCGTACTATCTTCTTCTTCTGTTAGCTAAATTTAGTATCCATAAATGTAAATTTGGTGGAAACAAGCCTTTGTTTTTAATTTTAAGAGCAGAAATTCAACAATACCTAAAAACAATACTGGGTTTGAAAAATAAGAAAGCTGCAAAATGTGTATCTATATGTAAACATTTTCACATTTTTGTTTAACTTAAGTTTGTCACTGCTTTGTTTGTCTTTTCTTGTTTTTTTAATTTAGTTTATTCATTGTACCCTGACTGTAATTGTAATTCTTGAAATAAAAAAAAAAAAAAAAATAAAAAAAAAAAAAAAAAAAAAAAACAGATGAAACCGAAAAAAAAAAAAAAAAAAAAAAAAAAAAAAAAAAAAAAATACACAGTGAAAAGCGTCGGACGCGGGTAGAACAAAAATGGCGGAGAGATTAAAATTTGATTCTGTCAGTTCTGTATGATCTCTCTGATTAGGGTTATGCTGCGTGAGGAAAGTTGCTCAGGACGTTGACATGTCAGGTCGGCTAAAAAATGTGATATAGTGGTCAATAGTTCAATGACTACCTTCAATTTAATTGTATTAACTGCCCTTATAAACGTTAGAAAGTCGTGAAAATAAAAAATGACATCACAAATTATCGTTATAAAATCAATATTTATTTTATTAAAAGTTAATAATTCAGGTTTGTTTATCAGTACCATAGCAACGGTCAACTTCCGCTGGAATTGTCGGATAGGAACCGTCCGTAGCTTTTCGCAAGAGTTCAAATTTTTGAACGCATCCGGATGACCAACGGACACGATTTTCTTCGCACCGCACTCGGTCGGACCCGTTTCGGATCCATTCGCATGCGGTCTGCGAATCTCCATAGGAAATGAATGACTTCCGGTCGTTTCGCAGCCGCATCGGAGCTGATTTCAACTGCCAGTGTGAAGGCGGCGTAAGCTACGCCGTACGTACTACGTGCACCCTACGCAGAAGTAAATTGGACTTTAGCAGTCTATGCAACCAGCCCCAGTTGGCTAATGGCCAATATGTAATAGATAGCATACAGTTGATTACCATCACAAAATAACACTGAAATGGAAAGGGTTAAATTAACACCACAACTAATATTAACATCCTCAACAACGCAGAATATAGTTTTGCTTATGCTCGCACTGCAGTTACATTGCAGTATGCTCAATCAATGTTATCCGTTATTAGCTGGGGGAACATCATTACTGTGTCGTTATCATTGTTATAATTACGTTATAATATGTCATTATAATTTTGCTGTTCTTTAACATCTGAAACGATTTTTAAACCAATTTCTTTATCGTTATAGTTATCGTCCTTGTTGGAAACGGCCTTCATCCAACTTACTGCTACAAATAAATACATGGCTTTAAATAGTTGTATTAGCTTACTTGCAGGTAAGAGCAAAGATCTGCACAGCTATTATACGATTTCCCAGTGAGCAACGTTTGACCAATCTCTTATTCCGCATAATAATGTCCACACATTTAACAAATTATATATATATATATATAACTCTATAAAATGCCTTGCTGTCGAAATAATGACAATAAAATCTAAAAAAAAAAAAAATTTATTTTTTACATACATAATATAAATGATAATTTTATTTTATTTTGCACTTGAAGGTTGTGTTCTGAAAGCCTATTAAAATAAATACTCAGTGACGTCAAAAGCACGTGCAGTTGGAAACAGTGTAAATTCACGCACGCCCTGAACAAATCTCCTATTTGCATGTGTAAAAGATACTGTTCTGCGTAGAAATCTATTAAAGCCCAAGCGGGCAAAATCAAGCAAGACAATATTGACTCTAATAAACTGCAAATAGTATAGCTAAACTTACAGGTGTGACTGGGAGCCATTCAGTTGAACGGATGAACGGAACTCTATCTTCTTTGTCTTCGTTGTAACTTCTTATAACCTCTAAATCCGAGTCGGTGTCGCTGCCCGAGCTGACACAAATAATATCCTCCATTATTTTGCCTCACCCTGTCCCATCAGTCATGTTTATGCCGACAGATAGATGTCTTGAACAACAGAAATAGTGGTCCAGGAGAAAGCATGAATAGTGCACGAAGTGTTGATAGTTATTGTTGTCAAACAAACCTCCACAAAAACAAATAAGTCACACAGGTAAATGTCAATATACTGTCACAAATGTTTTGGTTTCACTATTGCAGGATTTGATGAAGGGGGAACTTCCGCAAGTCTCGGTTATGCGGAAGTGTGTTTGGGTAACGTTAGACGTTAGTGGATTCACGGACCGGAGTGATTTATTTAGAATTACTTGTCTGTATCGTTATGCCTTTAGTTGCGTTGTACGCAACCACCATACATACCTGTTTGTCACATTCTATGTATATGAAATTCCAACGTCATAAAATGTAGTTTTAGCTATAATGTAGTCAGAGCTGAAGGACAAATACCTGTAATCTTCCCATTGGAAGAGGTGGGGATGTAGCTCAGTGGTAGAGCGCATGCTTTGCATGTATGAGGCCCCGGGTTCAATCCCCGGCATCTCCACTTTTTATTCACTTTCGTGTTGTTGTCTACTAGAATATAACTTGGACTGTTGTTAAAGTCACGTATTTAAAATAAACGCAAAATTTAAAATGATGGATTCTATTTCAAATATTATAAAATCTTAAAATGTAATATAGTCCTGTGATGGCAAAGCTGAATTTTAAGCAGCAATTTACTTCAGAGTCACATAACCTCTTATTCTAATATGTTGATTTGAATCTCGAGAAACATTTTATCATCCAAATTTAATATGTTTATGTCCAATTATGGATGAAAACGTTTTGCTGCTAAATATTTTAGTGGAAACCATGATAGATTCAAAAGTTAGGGGTAGCCCGAGTATTAGATTAAAAAAGAAAGAAATGAATACTTTTATTCAACAATGATGCATTAAATTGATCAAAAGTAAAAGACATTTGTTTTAATGTTATAAAAAATATATTTCAAATAAATGCTGTTCTTACACTAAAAGAAAAGAGCATTTTTCAAGATTTACACATTTCAGTAAATTCAGTCAAATTTAATTGAATAACACACATATTCGTGAAATGAATTTTAAATGAGCAAAAAAGAACTAGAGCTTAATAAAACATTTTGAATTTTTTATGTTTTATTTACTCAATGGAACAAGGGAATGGACCATTTTAATTATGCGATTTGTATAAAACGATCAAGATTTCCACAAAAATATTAAGCAGCAAAAGCTGTTTTAAACATTGATAGTAATAAGAACCATTATTAAAAATTGAGCAGCAATACTAATTAAGCCAAATCAGCATATTACAATGATTTGTGAAGACTGGAGTAATGGCTGCTGAAAATTCAGCTTTACCACCACATGAATACATTAAAATATAAATAAATAGAAAACAGTTATTTTCAATTGCAATGACCAATTTCATTTTTTTTTCTGTGCATAAATACTTTGTTCAAAAGTTTGTAATAAGTACGTTTTTTAATGTTTTTGATATATTTATATCAAGCACAACACTTTTGCCTAAACAGGAGCATGAGTGACTCACTGGGAATCTGCATGGTATGGTATTAATCAGAGGTGACTATAGTCACTGTATATAGTTAAAACATTTCCAGTGCCACCCCTTGTGAGAGCAATGTTGAGGCCCATGTCGGTGCACAATGAATATCTGTATTGCGGAGTTGCTCTAAAGGCATCCCAGTTGTCTTGGAGACAGGGAAGTTCACTTGGCCTTTTGTGGCTCTTAATCACTCTCTTTTTGAACACACACATCCATTCACACATAAACTTCCTGCCTTCTGCATCTTTCTAAAAATAAAATATGATGAACACATCTGCCCCTCTGGCCCGCGAAGCTTTGACCTGTGGGTCAAAATCATCACTAGGACAACAAGGCATTCCACTCGCTCTCTGAAAGGTTGTTTGTAAAATAGCTAAAATTACCAGTATAGCACGTGCCATTTTAAAGCTATTAAATGCTGTAATATCTCTATAAGATTGAGCACTGTGGTGATAAGGTTTCTGGCCCTTTTGACAGGTTATACTCTGAGAAGTTTAACAGATCAGGAGGTCAAGTTACACTATAAACATTCGCCCATGTAATATGCTTTTCCAATCCGGATATTCCCCTGGGACTCGCACAGTATTATCCAGCGAAAAAGACAGATAGCCCATCTGGAAATGTGCTTTCGCTCTTGCTTTCTGCCATGATACACAAACTAAACAACTTAACCCCTGCACTGAAATCCCAGTTTTAATTGATTTGATTTTTTTTTTTTTTACTGGATTTTATTCATTTTATGTGCGCTGACAAATTAAATGCAGAAATTTTAAGAAGTTGTGCATGATCTCGCTCTGTAATGTCATAGAGTAGACCAAACAGCAACAATGCATTTAGCTAGATCTGTTCAAATCTTAGTTTTTAATTTTTTTAATCCTTCCGTTAAGAGGATTTAATCCAGACATATCCACAACTACACACAAGCCCAATGATAGAGTGTAACCCTAATCCAGCAGTTGACTCAGATCTCACATAAAAGGATCCATATGTAAATGTTCATTAATGTTTGATTATTTAATGGCATGTGATGGAATCTATGAGACATTTGAGTTTTAAATATACAAGTATAGGAAATTTGGCAAAGAGTGGACAAACATGTGCAACTAAGCATGTCTCTAAATCTCCTCACTGGATATAAAGAGGCTTTTTTTACACTAGTATCTTCCGAACACGGAGAGAGAGTGGGCAAATGCCCGATGCACTTAGCAGGGGTGGGTGGGAACGTTGAGTGGGGTATTAGGAGTCCATTGTGCGAGTGCAGAGACAGAAGGAGAGAAAGGGGTGGTGGGGGTGAGGAGATGAGAGGAACACATCTGTTCAGGAACAGAGAAGGAGGGCAAGCACGACAGAGCACTCGAGTGCAAAGGGAGAAAGAGAAAGAAGTTGTTGGGACGGTAAGCATGTCCCTATTCTTTCTTTTGAATGAGATCATTTCTTGCATTAACTTCGACTGCAATTGTAACTTTTCTTTGACGTCGTCGGAATATTTTGAGCTTTTTTAAATGACATTAAAATGATAACGATTCATTGTTATGTCTCGTAAATATTTTTTTTCTTTATCGTGGCTTTAAATGAATGCTTTAACTCAAGGATTACATACAGCTAAAATCTCTGTCTGAGAATTTATTACAACACCTTGATCCCTATGTCAACAGATTTTCAAACAGATTGTGGTAGAGCAAGTACAAGTGTAACACTTTTTCATTTTTTTTTCTCATGTTTTCGGAAAATGTTTAGCTTAAAGCTTTAAATCCACACACAGGCATACCAACATACAAGACTTTAAAAAATATATTTTTAGCCAATAAGCTTTGAATATGCGCAGTCAGAAATGGTTAAAGTTGAAGTAGACAAAGGCTAATGTTTTTCATTTAGTCTACATTATTGTAATGGCAGCATATATAAATGACAAATACATGTTAATTAAATGAAAATATGACCCTAAAAGTTTTTACACTGTCCTCAACACATCTACACACCTGTGACACATCTAAAACTGTTAGAGATCTTGATGTGACAAGGTTGAGAGATTGAATTGCAGATCGTAAATGACACATGCAGATGCATTGTGCAATATATTGTATGTATTGAGTGCATTTATGTCTTTTTTTTTTCAGCTGTCTTTCTTTGACCGAGTCAGACACTTGTGATTTTATACACATTTACATGCATACATGTGTCTTTGCCCATTGTTTCCTGTAAGTCTCCCTCCCTTTCTTACGCTGTCCTCTGTCCTTGTCCCCTGAGACTGCCAGTGTTTTCCTTTAATTCCATTATTCTATAACTCTTCTTTTCCGTGCCCTGTTCCCCCATCCCTCGTCTACTCTAACAACCCGTCCTCTCCCGTCTCATTTCTTTAATGAAATGACACTTGCCAATTTAATTAAAGCCCCGCATCCGCTACGCTTATCCTCTTTTCTTTTAAAATGAAACACATAAAACCTCTGCCGCCTTTTCATCCTTCAATCTTTGATACTTGTCATCTGCAATTCAATCATGCAGCTTTACAACCAAAGCAGTCCACAGTGTAGTAAAAATTATTTTAGGACTAAAAGAGGTCCTAAGTTAAGCAATCCCTTGTAATGAGATTGCACAACTGATTTAATTTACATTCTTTTACGAAGTTGTTGTTGTTGTCCTTTAGAATAGAACACAATCTTGAATAATCATTACTAAATGATCACCAAACTCTGCATTTACAGTGCTGCCATCAATCCTACAATTCCTCAACACAAGAGAGGCCACCATCTCAGTTTCGGCAAAAATGACGTCTTTGAAATCACTTGACTAAGGAGGATTGACATTTGTATTATGGCAATGTTTTGGACAGCAGTGGTTTTCTACATGTGTGGACGTACAGTGGAAGTTTATGGAACGGCTGATAAAGATGTACTGCCAACCAGTCTGGCAAGAACCGCTTTACCCACTGTCATACCCACAGAAGATGAGAGCATTAAACTTGTGGTGAGAATGTGTCTTGAACTTATACACAATTCTTAAAATGCCATTTTCACAATTTGTAAAATAAGTCTTTGATGTCCCCTGATTGTGTGTGTGAAGTTTTAGCACAAAATACCCCACAGATATTTTTATATAGCATGTTAAAGTTGTCACTTTTTGAAGGTTTGCAAAAACACACAGAAACATGGAGGCAAAATGACAAAATAATTAATCAGAATACCTAGCTAAAGTTTCTCCTGCTCCTAGCTTATGGACAGCTCCTACTCACACTCTCCGCCTATGCGAGTTTTGGAAGGGAATGATTCAGATTTCTCATGCCACAGCCACTAGAAGACAGACGGGGGTGCTCACGTCACATCTACGTCGTCAAGCTCTGTTTGAGTCGGTTTGAGTCTGCGTGTCAGGAACGGAAGTCCTAAAAAAAAAAAAATCTCTAAAAATGTGTTTCACTTGTCTCAATTGAGTTCAAATAAGATGGCTCTGTCCACTTCTTAGGTATACACTGAAAAAAAAAAGCTTTATCTAATCAATAAAATTGTGGCAACATATTACAAGCAATATTATGAATTAAATTGCACAAATTAGAATTAATTAGAATATTAATTTGATTAACTATTACTCAATTCTAATTTGTTTCATTTAATAAATAATATTGCTTGTAATCTGTTGCCACAATTTTATTGATTAGATAAGCATATTCATTTTTACAGTGTACTATCTATGTTAATAATGCATAATTAGCAATTAGCTTGGGGTCATTCTTTTTGTGTGTGTGTGTGTGTGTGTGCTTTTAAGTCTCTTCTCCTCACCATGGCTGTATTTATTATATGTACAAAAAAATACAATAAAAAACAGTTATCAATTATTATCAATGATGAACAGTTCTGTCGCTTTTTTAATGGAAACTATCTTTTTTTCAGGATTCATTTTTTCAGGATTATTTTAAATAAAATCTATCTATTGTAACAATATAAAAGTATTTCCCGATCAATTGAATGCATCCTTGCGGATTAAAAGTATTACTTTCGTTCAAAAATGTTGTTCTGTTTGGCAGGATTGGCTCACAAAGTATGGATACCTCCCACCCCCTGATCCCTCTACAGGTCAGTTACAGGCCTGGACAGCTGTTACTCAAGCAGTGAAGGAAATGCAGAGGTTTGCTGGTTTGGATGACACAGGAGTCTTAGGTAGGAGTCACAGGAGTCTTAGTCCCCCCCACTCTTGAAATCTCAGTCGCATTGAATGCCTTCCTTAATTCCCTCACCTTCCTGTAACAGATGAAGCGACTGTTCAGTTGATGCAGACACCCCGTTGTTCACTTCCAGATGATGATGAACAAACCATTCAGCTTTCAGGATTACACGGTGATGTGGAAAATCAAAGGATGAAAAGAGCCGTGTCTACCTGGACGAGAAGAAATATCAACTGGAGGTTAGAATGATTATTTTACCAGTTGTGTTTTTCTTCCTGCTTTTTCTACCTTAACACACTTGATAGTTAGTTTACTGTATCCCAATAAAGTAAAGACTGAAGAAAAATATTAAAAACATGACGTGTAAACAAAATGTTTGTTCTTGGTCCAACTATCTTATTTCTCAGGTTGCGCTCTTACCCTGCATCTTCTAAACTGTCCCGTGAAATGATTCGCTCCCTTGTGTTCTACGCCCTCCGAGTTTGGGCCAATCCAACAATGCTTGAGTTTCATGAGGTTATGGCTATACTTTTTAAAACTCAAAAATTAGCACTTTGTTTCTGACCTTAACAATGTTCCTGTTTTTATGGGTTCATGTAAATGCATGTTGAACTATTTTGAATAGGTGCGAGGACCAGAGGGAGCAGATCTCCAAATAGATTTCTTGCGTGGTCCCCATGGAGATGGATATCCCTTTGATGGAGCAGGTGGATCTGTTGGCCATGCCTTCTTTCCATCAGACCCAGACAGGGCAGGTGGAGTTCACCTGGATGCAGAGGAGGAATGGGCTTTCAGAGGTAATTTTGCAAAACACAAAGCCAAAATAAAACCCATCAGGGTATATCAGTACATTATACACTGATATTAATATAATGACCAATAACTTTCATGTAATAGCAGCAATCAAAATGATTTTGATTCAAAATCTAACCCCACCCCTAATACTACCCATCTCCGCCCCCTGATCCCTAACCCCACCCCTAATTTACCCATCTCCGCCCCCTGATCCCTAACCCCACCTCTAATCCTACCCATCTCCGCCCCCTGATCCCTAACCCCACCCCTAATTTACCCATCTCCGCCCCCTGATCCCTAACCCCACCTCTAATCTTACCCATCTCCGCCCCCTGATCCGTAACCCCACCTCTAATCCTACCCATCTCCGCCCCCTGATCCCTAACCCCACCTCTAATCCTACCCATCTCCGCCCCCTGATCCCTAACCCCACCCTAATTTACCCATCTCCGCCCCCTGATCCCTAACCCCACCCCTAATTTACCCATCTCCGCCCCCTGATCCCTAACCCCACCTCTAATCCTACCCATCTCCGCCCCCTGATCCCTAACCCCACCTCTAATCCTACCCATCTCCGCGCCCTGATCCCTAACCCCACCTCTAATCCTACCCATCTCCGCCCCCTGATCCCTAACCCCACCCCTAATACTACCCATCTCCGCCCCCTGATCCCTAACCACACCCCTAATCCTACCCATCTCCACCTCTAATCCTACCCATCTCCGCCCCCTGATCCCTAACCCCACCTCTAATCCTACCCATCTCCGCCCCCTGATCCCTAACCCCACCCCTAATACTACCCATCTCCGCCCCCTGATCCCTAACCACACCCCTAATCCTACCCATCTCCACCTCTAATCCTACCCATCTCCTCCCCCTGATCCCTAACCCCACCTCTAATCCTACCCATCTCCGCCCCCTGACCCCTAACCCCACCTCTAATCCTACCCATCTCCGCCCCCTGATCCATAACCCCACCCCTAATCCTACCCATCTCCGCCCCCTGATCCCTAACCCCACCTCTAATCCTACCCATCTCCACCTCTAATCCTATCCATCTCCGCCCCGATCCCTAACCCCACCCCTAATCCTACCCATCTCCGCCCCTGATCCCTAACCCCATATCCTACCCATCTCCTGCCCCCTGATCCCTAACCCCATACTACCCATCTCCGCCCCCTGATCCCTAACCCCACCCCTAATCCTACCCATCTCCGCCCCTGATCCCTAACCCCACCCCTAATCCTACCCATCTCCGCCCCCTGATCCCTAACCCCACCCCTAATCCTACCCATATCTGTCCCCTGATCCCTAACCCCACCCCTAATACTACCCATCTCCGCCCCCTGACCCCTAACCCTACCCCTGACCCTACCCATCTCCACCCTGAGGTGCTACTGAAGAAGCCCCTTCTTCCATAATTTACAATTATGCCCCTTCTTAATATTTACACACAGCAACTGGGGGCACAGATCTGTTCACGGTGCTGGTTCATGAGCTTGGTCACGCCCTCGGACTGACCCATTCATCAGCACGGCAATCTGTTATGCGTCCATACTACCAAGGGCCCCTGGGAGACCCACTCCACTTCAGCCTGGGACATCACGACCTTCAACACATCACAGCCCTTTATGGTAACTAACTGTCATTAAACACCTCGATTGGAATCTCTGTTCGGCAGTCATAGCTCATGGGATTCGTGTGAAATCTGAATATCATCATGTACATGAGACTCAAATAATCTATTCTGCATGTGTGTGTGTTCATGAATTCAGGTAAGAGGGGTGACCATATTCCAACTGACAGGCCTCTTCTTGTGACAGAAGCTCAAATGCGTCATCGACATGGAGGAATACACAGACTCACACACATGTACAGACATGCACACAGTAATTTGGACAGGTAAGCGAGGATCAATAAAACTTTTTGAATTGAACATCAAATCAAAATTGAGCCTACTAATGCATATTCTTTATTGTGCCTAATGCTGGAATACTACTACAAATATAATATGAAAGGATTTTAAATTGAATTAAATTTTAGATTATTGGAGTATGTTTTATAAAATAATAAAAACGCTAGGAAATACACTAAATGACAGACATGTGTTCTGAAGTCTGTTTTATTCTGTTTTTAAAGACAAAGAAATTTGAATATTTAAACATCTTGGAAATGTTTCTTGGAAAAATGTTTGTAAAGTTTGTTCAAATGTATTTTAATGAAGAGAAAAATATTTTGAAATGTCTCAGTTTGTCTCAATCAAGTTCTGTGGATCGCTGTAACACCAGTTTTGATGCAGTTGCCAAGATTCGAGGAGAGATTTTCTTCTTCAAAGGTAGAATGAAATAATTTAGGGCTAATTTATTGAGTTTGTATTCATTTTCTCCACTTTGTGTTTTCATCTTGTTATTGTTCTACCTTTTATCCATTCATTCAGTGTCACTAATATATACAGAAAAAATAATTTATTCTTATTCCCCCCTTTTTAACTATCTCTCTTACCCATTTTGCAGGGCAGAACATGTGGAGAGTGAACAGAGGTGGTCTCGTGTCAGTCAAGGCTGTTCCTGTACAGAGACTTTGGTCGGCTCTTCCTTCTTCACTGCCTCCACTGCGAGCAGTTCTGGAGAGACACACAGATCATGCCATCATCTTTATCAGTGGTCAGTTTCCCACAAACCCACATTTTTGTGCTGATTTCAACCCCACTTTTGTGAGTTCATTTATCTAATTTAAAGAATAAAGATTTATTTTACTTGGTCTCGGTGCAAAGAATACAAATATGGAATGTGCAAAAAATGTGCAAAGAGCATTAAATAATTTTTACACTACACTCTCAGAAAAAAGGTACAAAATCTGTCACTGGGGTTGTACCTTTTCAAAAGGTAAACTTTTGTCCATTGTATGTGCTAATATGTCCATTTCACGAGCTAATATGTACATTTTTGGTGTTAATATGTACATTTTAGATGATAATAGTTACATTTTAGGTGCTAATATTTACCTTTTAAGTGTTAATATGTACATTTTATGTGCTAATATGTACATCTTAGGTGCTAATGTGTACTTTGTAGGTGGTAATATGTACATTTTAGGTGCTAGTATGTACATTTTAGGTGCTAGTATGTACATTTTAGGTGTTAATATGTACATTTTAGGTGCTAATATGTACATTTTAAGTGTTAATATGTACATTTTGGCTAATATGTACATTTTAGGTACTAAATATGTACATTTTATCTGTTCATATGTACATTTTAGGTGCTAATATGTCCATTTCATGAGCTAATATGTACCACTAAGGTACCAAAATGCAGCCTTTGGGTACAAAAGTGTACCTTTTGAAAAGGTACAGCCCCAGTGACAGCTTTTGTACCTTTTTTTCTGAGAGTGTAAGTGTAATTAGCAGTATTTTTAAGTATTAATAGAGTTACTTTTTAAATAGTTAAATAGTTTAGTACATTATAATAACAAAAACATATTCAGTGTACATGATTATATTTAATCATAAGTGGATGCTGCCTTTTTGGGACCTAACTTGTCCCCATCCCTATCCCTTACTTGTCCCTAACAACCAAACCCGCCTTTTGAATAGCCTTTTGAACACAAGAACAGTGGCATGGTGAGTATACTATAGAGGATTTAGTTTTTGACACAAACAAATCCGCCTTTTCCGAACTGAAAAGGGAAAAGGATGGAGAATGGCAGCAGAAAAGGGCGGATTTGGTTATGTCAAAAGCTAAATCCTCTATACTTACTCACCATGCCACTGTTCTTGTTACAAGATGGGTTTCTTTTGTAATATGTCCCGGCTCAAAAATTACAATGGTGGGCGGAGCCAGTGTAAATTGTTTTTGCCAACAAGATGGGCTATTTGCGCGAGTGTCTATTTTAAAATAGACACTCTGTAAAAATATAACTTATATAGACAAAATGAAAACACACTTTTTATAGATGGTTCCTAAACCCCTGCCACTTTTATTTAACACACATGCAGGTTCCCAGGTTTGGCTGTTCAAGGGTCTGTTACTCCAAGACGGTTTCCCTCAGCCTCTGTCTACTCTGGCGAATGCTCAATCAGAGGGAACGTGGCAAGGATTGCACTGGGACCCTAATCAGGGTGTGGTGTGGGGGTCTTTGAGAGAGGATGGAGAAAAAGGAGAAAGCTCAGAGGAAAGCAAAGTCTGGAGAGAGCTTACTGACGGAGGAGTGAACGGAATCATCACTGAGAATGATGACGAGAGAGAAAGGGCTGGAGACTTCAAGGGTGTGTTGCTTTTAGAATATTTATACAATACAGCAATGTATGGAGCTATGTGTAACAGTGTTTCACAACACTACTGACTTTTTTTATCCTCTACGTCAATCAGGTTGGACCTACGTTTTCAAAGGCAGCTCCTATTGGAAATTTACTCACCCAGGCTCAGCCCCTGAAGAAGGATACCCCAGACTTCTGGCCGCCGATTGGTTGGACTGCCCTCAGCCGTCCTCTTCCAGCCCCGGTGACATCTCTTTGATCTCCCACTATGGTCAACGGGAGCTTCGTGAGCAGAAAGGGCAAAGAATAATCGACCAGATCAGGCACAAAGACAAACCAAGAGATAAACCTCATAGCTGGGACTGTCCATGTTTAAACAGTGCAGTGACTCAAACTGGACCTATTTTACTTCTGCCCATTTTATTTCTGATCACTGTGATTTGTTAATTTTTTCCACTTTCAAGTTCACAATCATACCCAAAATTGATTTATATTTTTCTTGACTTTTAATCTCTGATCAAAGGAAGACGTATGGATATAGTTGGCTACTGTTGTTGTGCGTATACAATAACTCCTGAAACGCTGGTCTTATTTCTCTGTTAATTCTAGTTGCTAAACCACCTATAGAATTAGCAAGTTAGGTTAGTTATACTGCAGCACATTCTTGTTCATATTATCAAACAAAAATCATCAAAATGAATGATGTTAATCAATTACAGTTTAGAGTCTGTCAGTTCACTAAAGCTTGTGAAGGAGGCAAATCCGCACAATACTATATGCCTCCTTCATAAGCTTTAGAGTTTAAAAGCATAATGATATTATACATATTGATCTTGAAGATGCAGAGAGCATCCATTGAGTTCCAAAATCTGATTTATTCATGATTTATCTTTATTAAAATAGTGTGCGAATTTAGATTAAAGATAAAGTGCAAAGAAAAATGACTTGGTAAATACCAATGTACTTTTTAAAAATTATTTATTACTGTGGGATGAATGATCAAATAATGATATAATAAAATCTATATAAAAAAATATGTACATTTGTTTTACCATTTTATGGAATCTTCTATAAATATTACTTTTTATTCTTTTTTATGTACCCAAAAACTATGGCAAAAAAGAAACAAATAGGAGCATTATTTTATTAAATACTGGCATGCTCTGTATACCTCAGGAATTTCCTGGTCCCTAAAGTCCAACGTTTTTCCCACTTTAATAATTTTGGGTTTTTTGGCGCTATGGCATTACAAACAACTGTTGCGTCACTTCAGAAAAAACAGATGATAATGTGTGATAAGCAGTTCTATTTAAAGCACTTGTTCCCCAGGGAATGCAGTGTAACTTTCTGAAGTTCTACAATGTTGTCTTGGGTGGTTTTGACTGCTTTTCTGGGCCTGTTTAGTTTAAACCAGGCCACTCTGCCAGGCTGTAAGGAGCTCATAACGCCACTAACCTTGGATGATGACTCTAAAATTGTAAGTATTTGCAAGTATTCTTTCAAAGTAAACAAACAGCAGTTTATTTAAGACAATAAGGCACTTCAATTTCACAATTTCTATTTTCTTCCAAACAGATCATGGGGAAATGGATCTTCCTTGAAGGCATAGCTGATCACCAATTATTTACAGATATATTAATGACTGTGAACAGCTCATGGGTGGAGTTCGGCCCAAGCAATCTTACGCTTCCAAACATGGTATCTCTCAGTCAAGGGAACATGCTGTAAGATTGTCCTGTTTTTAAACATGTTTTTGAATACATTTATCATCATGACCAGAATTCTGAATCAGATCACTCTCCTCCTCAGGAAAGGAAAATGTGAGTTTACCTCCATCAACTCAGTTCTTAAAGACAGTACCTTTTATGCCAATGGTAAGTTAACAAAAAGCGTATTCATTTCAGTCCAAACTCATGAGTTCAGAACAGGAATGTTTTACTGTTGTTTAATCCACAGAGACTGACACGATAACAGAGGGAAAATTCTTGCCAGCCTGTCCAGAGTGTCTAACCATGAGCTTCGTCAGCCAATTTAAAAATCAGACCATAAAAACACTGTACTTTTTCAGTAAGTCACAAAATCCATATAGATGTAGACATTACATAAGGTTAAAGTAATGCAATTCATGACAAATTGTGTGTGATGTTTTCCCTCCTTGCAGAGAGAGAGAGCAACCCAACCCAGTCTGACATGGACATGTACTGGAAGCAAGCTGAGTGTCTTGGATTCAAAAGAGAAGCCCAGTACTCCTATGATGGTGTAACAGGTCAGTTTGGGTTTCAAGCACTTGTAGTTTTCATTGAAAGCCTCCGATTTTAGTTCAGATGTAGAGAAATTAGATCCTGGTCAGGTGAGATTCAACATCACTTCTTGCTTACTAAATCTATATAAAACGTTCAGTTTAATTTTAACTCATGATACAGAAGTTACAGGTAAATCTCACAAAATCTTTCACAAATATGTCAAGGTCATAATTTAACTCCTAAATCAAAAATAAATCATAATGAATTGATATGCAATTAATTCACACTGTAAATTGATATTTGTATCTATTTAAATGTAGCTCTTTTTTTTTTTCTTTCTTCTCTCACCGCAGAATTCTGTGTCAAAGGACAGCCCGTCTGACTGGAAGCCAAGTTTGGACAAATCAGATCAATAATACATGTGTTTTTGGGGGGTTTTTTGCTGCACAAAATAAATAAAATGTACGAACCATTATGACTAAAAGAACAATGTGTCTGTTATTCATCTTGATGTGCATTTTTAATAAACCAAGATAAAAAAGGGTCACATTCGTACTTCATAAAACTTTATTAGAAAAATATATATATAAATGTGACTGTGGGTAAGATTATACCTTTTGGGATTGTCCTACTTTCTCATGGTCCTTCGGACAAGGACATGCCCACAGTTTTATGCACTCAATTGATTCCAATTCATAGAACCTGTTGTGTCACTTCAGAAAAGATAGAGAAGTACTATATGTGGCAGGCATGTTAGAGAAACAGACCTTCTGTGCAAGTATAAAATACAGAATATAATTTCCATGTGAAACTAACATCCTGCTCATGATAAAGAAGACCGTTGATATGATTTTTGCTTAAATTATTTAACACATCTGGTCTTGCATTTGGATACAAAAAATGCCTGAAGCTGTGAGTGCGACTACATTTACACCTCAAAGACATCAAAACTAGTAACCGGTTTATGTTTACATTTACGTGTTGTTAGAGACTACCATCAATGTTGGGTGCAAATAATTAGTAACCCAATTACTAAAGAAACCTCTTCATTTTTCTGTATTTTAATAAGTTACTTCTTGCATTATACTGTAGTAGACTATACATTTATTTCTCAGCAATAGTGGATTTAACATCAAAATTGAATGCTGCAAAGTATGTTTTTTTAAGGTAACCTTCTCCCCTTTCACACTGGTCAGTTCATAATTTATGCAATTGTATATTGTTTATTTGAAAGAATCCTTGTATTGTTCAACTAGTCAAGGTTGATTGGATTTAGAGTGTAATTCGTAATAAGTAATCTAATACTTTTTAAAGATAGTAATTAAAGTAATTTAATGACTCTCTTAAAGGTGTAATTAGTAGCTAGTAATTAATTACTATTTTAGAGTAACTTACCCAGAACTGAATATCATCCACCACTAGGTGTCACTTTCCCCCCATATAATCTTCCATGGAATCCGAACTCTCCAGATCACTTCTATAAATGTCCAAACCTTACACACAGCTGATCTGATTACATATTGGAAGTCCAGTTAGACCACCATGAAGAACAGCTTTGAGAGACTTGTAAACCACCTTTAAACCAACTTGTCTGAGGCGTATCTGACTGTGACTAGAAAAATCATTATTTCTGGTTAGTTATAGATAGATCTGGTAGTTAGGCAAATCTTAATATTATTTGTAAATGAATATTTTTAACAAGTAAAAACTTCCATATTTCTCTATAGGCTAGGCTATTTATGCATGGTAACAAAACTCTTTGGTCTTGACATTCATTTACACAAACTATACACGGATCGTTTTTTAATGTCTAATGGTTTTCTAAACTAGCTCCTTTAAATTCAAGCAGATACACGTAATATTCCAATATCAAAATCTAATACGGATAGAAATATAGGCATTCAAGCAAAATAGGTTAAAATGAACAGTAGCTGCCTACACTACTAGAAGCAGCGTCCTCATGAATATGCTGCAATGGATGAATATTCATGAGTTACACAGGTGCAACGTTTAAAGGTGTGAACGAATTTTTTTTTTTTTTTTTTTTACTTAGTTCCTCGTGCGATACTATATCATCAGTTGACAGCTCGTTTTGCGACAGTGAATGTACCTGAACCGGGTTGGACAAAGTAGGAGTCCTTTTAAAATGCTATTTATTCCAGTTCAACCAGACGGGGAAGAAAAGAAAGCTACCTGTTCTTAGTGGTATCTTGAGGATTTTGCCTTCCTAAGAGCGTACGAGTAGTGTTCCTGTAATCCTGGGATGAGATGAGGCCCTGGCATGGCAAACTTTTCTTCCTCGCTGGTTTTGTACTATGTGTGTTGACGTTATCCTCCTGGCACACGTCAAAGTCAGGTGAGTGTCATCATCTTGTAGTGCCTGTGTGGATGGCCCCTAAATTATTCGGATTAGATATCAGTCATTTAATCATTAAGTTAACACTTTTTTTGCTATGTTTGTCAATTTCTCTGAATTGATAGTCTGACTGAGTTTTAAAATCAATGCCAATGATACAGTAATTGATAGCTTTCGAGAGATGGAAACCTTATATAGTTGTCATAGATAGCCTACGTCAAATTTGAAAGTTATAAACAGAAATATAGCCTATTAATCTAGCTATTTAAAATTATGATATTTTATTTTTAAAAGTATTTAAAATTATGATATTTTATATTTTAATTTATTTGTGGAGCGAGGGTAAGAAAAAAGAGAAGCAATGTTGGGCTTTTTAAAAGAGAGATCCAATCCTGCTCGTTTTAAAGAACCCTTGAGCTGTTGTATCTTACATTAGCCTATAAATTTGAATCTATACTGTGTGGGAAGATGATCACCCCTGGTTTAGCTAGGCAATATCCAGACACCATAAACTGAAATAGTTTTTACTAAACTTAATATCTCTAGTAATACATGTTGTTCAAATGATGACGAGTTAGGACAATCATGGTGGAATGAACGTCAGCTAACAGCTGTTGTGCCGAATTTCTGCCAGAATCCGACTCCAGGAACTGTCCAGCCCTTTCCAAGATGGAAATTTTTTTTTAAAGGTGATTGTGAAAGTAAGATTTTAAACACTCAATTAGACAAATAGTGTGTTTGTCTAATTGACAACGTCAATAAATAGTGTGTTTGTCAATACACGTCAATAAATTGCATTGTGTCATCGCGTGAGTAAACACTGGCCGGTCAAAGAAAGTCGCTGTTTGGATTTTTACCGGATCATTATTGGTGTGATTATTATGTTTCTAGCATGTTTGGGGACAGTTATTTTAATCCTAATTGATGGCGTATAGTTGACTTTAAGATGTAATGATTTAGAATGCATGTTAAACTGACATCTTCTAAACGTCTATTTGACATCTGACAGGAAACAGACGTATTGCAGATGAGCAAACACTCTTAAAAATACGTCTTCCAGATGTAAACATCACATCAAATAGGCTTGTGTTATCTGGGTAGACTTGTGGTATCTAGGGTTGACCAAAAAAATGTAAACAATCCCATAAATTAGGCTACTCAACCACAAGTCATCCTTGGTGTGTATGACTTTCTTCTTTCAGCCAAACAGAGTTGTATAATAAAATGTATCCTGGCTCTTCCAAAATGGGAGTAGTTTTATAGTAGGCTACCTAAGATTTTGAAGCCCAAAAAAGCGCATAAATCATAAAAGTAAGCCATACGGCTCCAGAGGGTTGATAAAAGCCTTCTGAAGCGAAGCAATACATTTTTTGTAAGAAAAATATCCATATGTATAACTTTATAATCCTGCTTTCGGTAATGGCCATACTCGAGTCTAGTTCCCATGGATGAGTGAACTCAGAGTCTCTATATGGTGATATAATTATGTCAGAACGGACTTGTAACTTAATTGACAAGCCCTGATAAAATCGTATGTGTATTGACATATATCAAAATGTGTATTGAAATGCCAAACAACCACAACAACAAAGTGCCGCAAAGCAAAGAATTTCATGGAGCTCATTAACAAAGATGAGCTAATCTACCATCTGTAACAGCAGTTATTCAACAATGCAGCCTTCCTTAAACTACAGACTTTCTTAAAAGATAAAGTTATATTTGTTTTTTGTCTGCAGAAAGTCAAAGGAAGCTTGCTGCTTGGTGTGTCTGTAGCCATTAAACATGATGTTTGATATAAATTGTATGGGTTAGGGATAGGGTTAGCCCCCCTCATATTTTTAGGAACTAAATATTTTCTGTGAATTCAACATTGTGAATTCAACAAATGCGGTTGATAAAGTTTAACTTGTTTTGGGCCCAACTTCCCTTTAATTCACATCCAGAGATGATTGGTTTTCTATTCTCCAGAGAACTTGCCATCGCAGCTGCATTTGGTCTATGCGAGGTTACTGCGGGCAGAACAGCGTGGGGCGGTCTTATCACAAGAGCTGCTTAAAGTCCTGGGCCACCTACAAAACCGCAGCATTGCTCTATCTAATCTCACAATCAGAAACTCCTCAGGTGAGTCCAAGCACTTTTCCTTCTGTAATATTTGTGTCTGTTTGGTTGTTCACTATTTTTTCTGTCTTTCAGCTGAATTAGAAACGAGAGTCATTCAGCACTTGTTGCCATCACAGCCTAATGCCCTCATCTACTTGCCTCATCTGAAAGAGCACAAGGACAGTCTGAAACCCATCGTTCACCTGGGGCAGCGACGCACTGGAGGTATGTCTCCCATTATAGCTTTTTGCGATTGTATAATTGCAGTGCTTGGAATTTGCAATTGAATTAGATTTAAACAATGTCTTATGCCTGGTTTCACAGACAAGGCTTAAGCCTAGTCCCAGACTAAAATGCATTTTTGAGCTGTCTTAAAGGGATAGTTCACCCAAAAATGAAAATGATGTAAGACTATAACTGAACCCTGAGGTACCTTATCCTTATTAAAACATTTTATTGCTCTTTATGTACATTTTAATAATGACCTATAGCTGTTGTTACACTGCAGATGATATTTATGCATTGTTTAACTTCCTGATGCTTGTTTAGTGTTGTGAAAGCAGCAAAGCATCTCTGTTGCAGCCTTTCATTTGTAATCATGAGCTAAGCTTAGCTGAAACTTTTTTTTTTTTTACACTTTTTTTGTATTAAATTTTTGAACATGTGCTTTTATGTTTCTTTTTTCTTTGTCAGTTAAAGGGATACTCCACTTTTTTTGGAAATAAGCTCATTTTACAACTCCCTCAGAGTTAAACAGTTGAGTTTTACCGTTTTCGAATCCATTCAGACGATTTTCTTATATTTCGAAGAATATCAGTAACCAAACAGTTTCTGGTCTCATTGACTTCCATAGTAGGAAAAAAAATATACTATGGAAGTCAATGAGACCAGAAACTGTGTAGTTACTGATATTCTTCTAAATATCAGAAAATCGTCTGAATGCATTCGAAAACGGTAAAACCCAACTCTGGGGGAGTGGTAAAATGAGCCTATTTCCAAAAAAGTGGAGTATCCCTTTAAGTTGTTTCTAATGTTTTTAAACACATACACAATAAATGCTTTATCACATGCATTCGCCATAGGCTGACATGAGCTGACACACAGTGTTTAACTGTTTTTGCAGTGTCTCTGGTGTTAGGAGTGCCCACCGTGTACAGGCAGAAACAGAGTTATCTAGTGAACACACTCCAATCTCTCCTATATGACCTTTCAACTGCAGAGAGGAAAGATATTGTCATTGTAGTCTTTGTTGCTGAGGTAACCCTTGACATCTGCTCTTTGTTCTCTTATATCTCTCCTTTATCTGTTTTATTGCTCTGGTAAGGCTGAATTCAACTTTATGGTATCATTTCATTCCTCTTAACCTCTGTTTCATTTGGTTTTACGTTGTTTTTCTGTTTTCTTGAATGTTTTTTGACAAACATTAAATATGGATTTTTGATAGAGCTGTGAATGAAGAAGACCCCAAAGATAGTTCTTTGGCCATTAGCTTTGAGGCTATCTATATGCTAGTAAATTTCTTAATTGACAGTATTTCAGTATTGAAAAGATTTGATCAAAATATTGGTCAAATCTTGCACTCTTTCCAAATTTCTGTCCAATCTATTGCTCTCTATAAGGAGAATACACCTTACAAAATACCACCTTCCCCTGACTTTACTTAGGAAACCATGGTTTACCTAGCTGAATGGCTATTGGCCAAAGAAAAAGAGGAATCGTTTATTTGAAATAGAAATCTTTTGTAACATTATAAATGTCTTTACTGTTACTTTTGATCAGTTTCATGAATTCGTATAATTTCTTTCTAATGGTACTGTTTTATTGTTCTTTTCATTGATATGTATTTTCATTCTTCGCTTAGACAAATGCAACTTTTGTGAATGCTGTTGTACAGAGTGTCCAGACCAAGTGAGTGTTTCATTAACAACTCATCTGTTTCATCTTTCTGTAAGCCGGCTGTGCAAGTAACTGATCACAATTTCACTCCGTGTAGTCTCCCAAATGCTGTCAGTTCTGGATTGATTGAGGTGATCTCTCCATCTCCTCACTTTTACCCAGACTTCAGTGAACTGAAGGAAACTTTTGGAGACCCTAAGGAGCGAGTCAGGTTAGAGATTCGGATTCGCTTGTGCTGTTGTGTGAATACTCTCGGTAACTGGAAATAGTTTATTAATGTGATCCATTTGTTTTATTGGTCACAGATGGAGGACCAAGCAGAACCTTGACTACAGTTTCCTCATGCTGTATGCGCAGTTTAAGGGTACATACTATCTCCAGGTAATGCCAAAACAACGCCATTCAACTCATTGATGCTCTGTTTAATTGCTTTTATAATCAGTCTGTATGTTTGCATATGTGTTTCAGCTAGAAGATGATATTGTAGCAAAGCAAGGATTCTTTGAGTCCATGAAAAAATATATAGAACTGGTGCTTTTCGAGGAGTGGCTTTTCCTGGAGTTTTCCCAGCTGGGATTTATTGGTCAGTGTGTTGTCCTCTGTGTTGATTAATGTTCTATCCTGTTATCTTCTCTCCCACCATTTCTGTTTGTTCAGTTGTTTTATTCACACACCATATTGTTATTTGAACATAACAGTCTGTGTCAGTTCCAGAAGTGGAAAGGAAATAAAAGCTTTCTTGGTTTGAAAACAAACAAATCTATTGCTAGAATTTGCTTATGGACGTATTTGCACTTAAAAGGACAATTCAGTTCACATGCTCTCAATTATTTAAATAGTTTCTTAAATCAACCAGGAGTGTGTTTCCCAAAAGCATTGTTAGCCAACTTTGGTCGCAAGTTCCATTGAACTCATGTATACTATTATATATGTGTACCTGATTTTTCATATTCTAGGCAAGCTTTTTCGCACATCAGATCTGCCAATGATTGTGGAGTTCATCCTGATGTTCCACAAAGACAAGCCGATTGATTGGCTGCTTGATCACATCCTGTGGGTTAAAGTGTGTAACCCAGAGAAAGACTCCGTAAGTTTGGGTTTATATATTTTTTTTTTTGTTAGTTTGTTTTTCAGTGAGATTGGTGTAAGGCATATCATTGTGTATCATTAATTCTTTGCACTTAGAAACACTGCAGTGATGAGAAGGCCCGACTGAAGAGATCTTACAAGCCCTCCTTGTTTCAGCATGTTGGTTTGCATTCCTCGCTACCTGGTAAAATACAAAACCTAAAGGTAATTTAAATGTCCACTTTTGTAATTTAAATGTCCACGTCTATGCTAGGGTTTAGTTTCAGTAAATTAAAACTAAAACTTAAACCATAAATGGAAATGGAACTGTAAATGTAAAACATTTTATATATATATATATATATATATATATATATATAGTAGCATAATAAAAAAAGCATTATGTGTAGAATAGTGGCTACCTACTAAACCATCCAACAGTAGTATAGGTCTGTAGGCTTAGACAACAGCTTATCTACATTGCAAACGTGCATTTACATTATTTAGATTGTCACGTTTTGTCCATAGTGACTTCGGAATAACACAGCTCAAAGTGATTCATCTTAAATCGCCTCATGGCGCCTTGCATGGCTGACACCGCCGTCGGTGTATGAATGTGTGTGTGAATGGGTGAATGTGAGGCAAAATGTAAAGCGCTTTGGTGGCCATTAGGTCTATGAAGGCGCTATATAAATGCAGTCCATTTACCATTTACCATTTAAAGCTGTAGTGTGTTTTCTGTTTTTCTGCTGTGCCAATGCATTATGGTTGTTTTTATTATTTTTCATCATTTGTTTTGTTATCTATTTTGGGAAGTCACCCAACAAATGGGTTACATGTAGTTCTTTATGGAAAATAAATTGAGGTAGGAGGAAGAATTTTAACCAGAGGTCTTCAAGCCTTCTGAGCTGTGTTCAAAATCGCCCCTATACCCTCATTCACCATTCCCTAGTAACTCTACCTACATTAGTCCAGTAATATAGTTGCTTGAAGGAGTGATTGAAACCAAGTGAGCAAGACACTGAGTGTGCTGGAGGGGCTTTTGCATAGTTTGTGCTTTCTGTTGAATAATCATTTTCAACTTAGCAAACTAGCAGCTCCAGAAGTAATGAAAACATTTATTCCGTGGGGGCAGTTATGGACTAATGGTTGGAGACAATGAGTGCACTCGATAATGCCTACCGTGGTTTGGGACATCACTTCAAATGACTGTCCCTTCAAATAGTGCTCTATTTAAGGGTATGGGGGGGAGGGGATTTTGATCCATTCTCTTACAAAGTCCAACCTGCTTCAGATCATCTGGATGTGATTTTCAAACCATCCTGAAAAGCTTGTTTAACTGGTTCAGGTGTGTTTGTTTAAAGTTGGAACTAAAATCTTTTTATGACAATGGGTCCCTTAGAACAAGGTTGAAGCCTGCTGATTACAATGTCAAAAATTATTACACACTTCACCTTTAAAGAGACCGTACCATTAAAGGTGCAGCAATACAACGTGTCCAGAAAAGATAGGAAACTCTTGTACTGTGTGCTTGACATGATGCCTATTGAGAGAGCGTTCTAAATCACTCACTAATTCGATTACATTTCAGTGACGATGCTGCCTTGAAGGCAATTGCTTAAGTTACAAAATACAGCAGGGAAGCTCACTAGGTTTCGGATCAGAGCTTATGTGTTTTTCTGTATATGTTATGCAGGATAAAAACTTTGGGAATCAAGTGCTGTATAAAGCCCACAATAATAACCCATCTGCAGAAATCAGCAGCAGTCTGGAGAAATATCAGTCTCACTCTCTGGAGAGAGCTTACAACGGACAGGACTTCTTCTGGGGCCTGACACCCAAAAGAGGAGATTATATTCTCTTCACTTTTTCCACGCCTCAAGCTGTGAAAGGGTGAGACACCAGCAAATGACATTTATGAGATGAGTTTACATAAGTTTAAACTGGTACAGGTAATCTTGCTAAAGTTTTAGTTTGTCTTACAGGTACGTTTCTGGGTAAACTATCCCTTCATCTATGTGCATTGTGAATATGTCTTATTTTGGATGTATAAAAATATAGAAGTAAAAGCCCAGCTGCATGAATGTATAGCGTATGTATATGTATAGAATGTATATTGTGAATATATAGCTGTCTGCTCGAGTCCTTTTATTGTTGAAAAAATGTGAACCGGTGGCTTCAGTTTAAGACCCTTTGAGCACGAAATTCTATATAGCCATTGTTTTGTTTGTTCGGGAGCTGAAGACACAGTGACGGCAACCTTTTTAAATCCCCCTTAAGCACACACAAACAAGCTTTAGGAATCTCTAAAATGGCATCAAATTAACTAAGTTAGGATCTAAAATTTAGTTGCTTTTTGGTGACGGCCTTGTAAAGAAATCTGAACTTCCTCAGTACTAGAGAAATATTAAGTTATGGGTGCATAAAGAGGTGCATAATGAGCCCAGGGAAATTCCTGGCTGTTTAAACGAATACAAAAAAATAGATAAACAATGGATTGTTTAAATTGTACACATAACTTGACTACGCATAACCTCAGTGAAGTTTAACGGTGTCTTACGGGTTAAATACAAGCTTTAATTTTAACTCTAACTACAGCATCTGTGGAAGGACAAACATTTCGACTCAAACAAAAACATAGTGTAACACAAATGGACTTACAATGAAACTTCCATAGACTGATTTGAGTTGTATATATATATATATATATATATATATTATATATATTATATTATTTTTTTTTTTTTCACTCACTTACAGGTATCTTTTCCGATCTGGCAATGTTGAGACAAATGGTGACCGGTTTTTCAACACAACAGTTGAGGTGCTCCCTAATAATGTAAGTATCATGCAAAGACTTTTTCTGGTCAAAGTAACACTCAAAAGATCTGCTTTCAGCAAATAGAGCTGAAAGTGTTGGGTTCTGGAAGAAAAACTGTAATTTAAACAACAACAAAACAACAACAAAAAATCATTTATTTGATCAAAATGCAGTAAGAACAGTAATATTGTGAAATATTATTAAACAGTATTAACATTGTACATGACATTGAGTCTTCCTACAATAGTTTTACACTGTGTTGTGTTTTATTTGATTAAATTATTTACTGTGATTCATGGGACTGTAGTTCATTTTCTACATTTTTTGCCGTTCATCGGGCTGGTTGATTTGCTTCCTTAGTATTTATTGAAAAGTTTTTTTTGAAATCCCTTAAATTCTTTGAAATCCCTTGCTAGGACCAATTCCTCCGAAAAATGGGCGGTTTTCAGTTTGTGTTTAGTCTCTGTTGTTTGTGTAAGATAGGTATGGTCATACAGTAGCTTTAGACGTTGCATTGTGCTTTGGGACGTATGTGACTACACCCTTTATCTTTCTGTTATCATTTGTCTTCATTTGCTTGCAGTGATGCCTTGCTCTTTTACTTGTTAGTCATCCATCGATCTAAACCAACAGAAAGCTGACACCCATAACCAAATTTGTCTCTTTGCATCACTCAAACTTTATCTCAAACCTGCTAGACTAGGATTTTTGTACACACTTTATATGTTACGGACATCCTTTTTTAATTCATTTGCACCCAAGTACAAAGTGCCGACTGCTGACAAGTACATGTCTGTCTGTTTTACAGAAGTCTGTGAAAGAGAAGGTGGAGAGAGGTGAATTGTCCTGTTGTAAACCCTCATCCGATGGCTTTGTCGAGATAGGTACACAGCCATTATTGATTTCCTGGTTCTTTTCTTTTTTCTTTTCCCTCAATTGTAAAAGTTTGCATAAATATAGGCAATTCACTCAATACTTACCAAGTATTACATGGTAAAAAAAAAGTGATACTAGTCAGATAAGAGTATCAGAATTATGATTATTACTGGAAACTTCTGAAAGATTTGGCTCAGCAAGTGAAGTCTGTAGGTATCAAGAACCGGTTCTTATTCAGAACTGGTTCAGTTGGTTTGTTTTTTCTTCCTTTTTTCGTGACATGACATCCTGTTTCATGAACAGTTCTTGAACGTCTGCATTTTTTTCTCTGTGCACTGAGTGTACTATGACAGTGAATTTCCTGAATCTATCGGAATCTATTCAGCAAGGATGCATTAAATTGATCAAAAATGATGGTTAAACTTTTATAATATTAAAAAAAGCTTTTTATTTCAAATAAATTGAACTATCTATTAATCAAAGAACCATAAAGAATTCCAAAAAGAATATTTAGCAGCACAAATAATTTCAACCACACTTCTTGAGCTGCAAATCAGCATATCAGAATGATGAAGGATCATGTGACACTAAAAACAGGAGTAATGATGCTGAAAATTCACATTTGCCATCACAGGAATAAATTACATTTTAAAATGTATTCAAATAGAAAACTAATTTTAAATTATATTTCACAATATTACTTTTTTTTTTCTGTATATTTGATCAAATGCATTTTGAGACTTTTTTTCAAAAACATTCAGAAATCTTACCGACCCCAAACTTTTTTAACAGTATAGTGTACATGATGTACTTAAAGCTTGTGAGACTTAAATTGGTCAATATTGTTCTCTAAAAGACTTATTAATGGAAGTATCAAGTATCTGCAAAATGAATTGTATTACATTTATTAAGAACCAGCTAGATTTCTTGATTTTAGTATCAACTACTGAAAAATTGGTTTCATGACAACAAGGGTTATTGATTTGAGGATCAAATTTAACCATGACATTGTATTTTACGACTGTTAATGATCAAACAAGGTTATCAGACACTATTTGTTGATAACTGGTCGGAAACATGAGCGAGTATTAATGTGCATGTCTGTAATACACACACCCGCTTCAATTCCAAACCACAATAAGAAATTGGAGAACAAAAACTGGTTATGTAAAAATGTGAGGCCAATGTCTGGGATCAAGTGCTTTTCATGCAATGTAAATTGAAAGAGGCAGCGGTTTCCGTGTACTTTGTGATGAGATGTTAACAATGTTTGTGTTTGTAGGTTCTTTCGAGAATGGAGTGGCTGAGGGAGAAGTGAATGGAGCTTTAGAAGAAATAGCGGCCATGAGACTCCTGGTTCACTCTGATTCTGATGTCTGGGTCCTTCTCAGTGAGGTGAACCACATTCGTATCATCTATATACAACCTTTATTTGTATTTTGTATTTGTATTTTTATTTTATTGAAACATGCCTCACTAAATTGGGAAGGACTTGAGATAACAGTCACTTAATTCAGAGAAAGGCATGCTCACATGTGCATTACGTAACTCTATTACACCGAAATGCAGACCCAACCCAATTTTGTTGACATTTCACCAGGGAAATACACAATGGTTTGTTAGGACATTTATGTATGTTAGGTTTTTGTACCTTACATTTCGAAGGTCACACTCACAAATCATCTGTGAGACAAACAAATCCAGTCAAGTACTCATAGGGCTTGTCAGGGCGGTTTATTGGGTCTTTTATTAAAATGTAATGCTAAGCTTGTTAATCATTCTCCAACTTATCACTTCAAGTCATTTCCTTCACGTAGAAAAGTGGAAATTGTATCTTAAAATTTCATATCATTAGAAACTAAGGACTCTTAATATGGTTTATTTCAGTAGAGGAAAATTAAGAAGGTTGATGTCTAACTTTAAATTGACAAATATATGTTGGTTTTGAGTTTGATATTTGCAGAGTTTCTATGCACTTAAAATTAGCATGTGTGTAATTTAACCAAGAGTACAAGATTTTCTCTAAAACAGAAAATGTATTTGTCTACTTTTTTTAGTTAAGAGATCAACAACAATGGAACAATGACCAACTCTGTCATCAGTTCCCTGTACTCTGTAATTTGCATACGTTTTGCAAAATTCTTGAAAATTCATTCACAGTATTAATCATTTCAGATGGATTTAAATAATTGTAAAGATGATATATTAGAAAATTCTAAATTTTACTCACTATTATTTGCCTTTTTATTGACATTTGTTTTCGGTGTAACTTGTAGATAAAAGCCTTTTTGAGAAAGTCTCTGGCAGCTTGCCTTGTCTTCAGCTGTGGCACAGTATCTAAGGTTTGCTTAAAAGTCACGTCTCTCTCTTTGACAGATCTTTATCAAAGTTTGATGAGTTGAGGAGAGAAGAGAAACTTGAGCCTCATGGTATCGTGTAATCCCCCCTGCTGGAGACAACAGCGCACTCTGCCGGTCTGGAAAGGAACCTCCCTATGTTTGAACGATTGTCATTGTGTGCCATCTTGAGGTCCAACGTAAATACTGAATTACAGGATGTTTTCCTCATGTATGTGAGCAAAGTATTTACACTGTTTGTTTGGTTTATTTTATATCTGTCTAAATTATTTTAGTTTTTTATATTCATTTCTTTAAAAACAACTTGAAGTGCCAACCACAACACAAGGTATCTCTGAACATATTTTATATTCAATTGAATTTAAATTGTCAATAAATGGCAGTAACACCAACTGTTTTCAACATCTAATTTCCGCTTTTCTGCTAATATAATATTCTAGCTTATTTCATATATATATATATATATATATATAATATTTTTATGTTGTATATATATAAAAATTTTGTTTCTATATTAATATTTTGAATTAGCTTTAACTTGTATATTTTTAGTTTTCAATTTTAGTAAATTTTTTAGTCATATAATTATGTGCTTTTGTAATTTGCTTTACAAATTTTCTGTATTTTTTCCCTGCTATTTAGGTTTAATATTTTAGTTTTATTTTAGTGCTTCAGCTTAAACTTGTTTCAGTTTATTGCCAAGGCAACATTTCTAATTTGTTTAGATTAAGTTTTTTTTTTCTTCAAAATTTCAGATAACAGAAATTAATCAAACTGGGAAACTGAAATATACAGTTTTCAGTTTTAATCTTGGTCTTGCTGTAGGTAATCATTCCAACATGGTTACTGCATAGTTAAACACTAGACTGTTTGTCCTTCCGAACACTTTTGGTGACCCTGTGAAAGATGAAGACACACATTCAGATGCATATTCACGATTGAAAGCAAGGGTGAATGAAAGGTAGGCATGTGGATAATAATGCTAGTCTATGAGACTCAGTTCCTCACTCCTCTGATGAGTCCTCTAAACTCTGGTTGAATATGTGTAGACTTGAATCCCAGATGAAGTGAGGTGACTGAACGAGAAGCAAACAACCACAGGGGCCTACAGAACCTAAACAGAAGGACTCACTCACAGCACAGCAAATTATTATTATTATTTTTTAATTAAAACAGGCATTTGCAATGCCACACAATGGTAAGATTCTACACATACAAACACAACAAATTCATAAAGATATTCAGAGGCACAGGTGTAATGCATGCTAGAGAACTCCCTTCTGTTAATAGCACCAAGAAAAAGGTCTAAATTTCATTCCCTGATCAGAATGACCTGAAATGTTTTCTCTCGACTTGACTATAATCAGTGCTGATACAGAGAGAGCAACTGTCATGCCATCACAACTGCACTCTCAACTACAAATCATAAGTGTGAAATACAAAATACATATTTTAAAAACAATTTCAAATATTACTAATTAATATTATCATACCCTGTCTGAACATAAAAAAACTACAACCTAACTAAAAGGATTTTTAGCATGTTGAACAAAGTCATTGAAAAATGAAATGTAAACAAACATTAATACTGATAAATAAAACAAATGTAAACATTTACCATTTTAGTGACACGGGGATAAAATGAGTCTAGTGGAAGGGTTTATCTGCGTGGGGTTGTGGATCTGGGAGAGAGGGATGCTCTCTTACTTCCGTTTGCTTTTGGAGTCGGTGGTCTGAAACACGCTAGATGCCGACATGAGGTTCTCGATGTACTGCCCAAGAACCTGATTTTCAGATTTTAACTTCAGATTTTCTTCTTTTACTGCGTCCACCCGAGCTGAGAGATCTGCCAAAACAAGAGAGAGAAAGACATAAAGCTTGTTATTTAATATAAGGTTGAAAAGTGCTTGCAACAAGCAAGGGGCGCTGGTTACTTGCCTTCAAGAGTATTCTGCAACTCAAGGACCTGGTTTATAAGTCTGGTCTTCTCCTCCAGTTCCACCTGGTTTTCTATGTCCCCTGGAAGACAAACTTAATTAAAGTCACCATTAAAATAATTTCCCCTTTCTCTTGCAGCGACATTTCTTCACTTCTCTGATGATGCGTTTAATAGCGCTATGGCGAAACAACCTGTCACTCACATGACATCGCAGCAATAGCAAACTACAACCATCCAATCAATTCCCAATGGACAAAATCCAGTCCTGTCCTATTTTTTTTTTCTTGTTTCATTCAGATATGTCAAAGACAACTTCTGTTTCATGCAGACTTTTTCATGCACTGAGAAACTCCTAATGCTTATTACCAACAAAAAATGTAATGAAGAATTTTTTTTAACAATTTAAAGCCCCTACTACTTTATAGATGTATTGGTTAGAATTTACATTTGAAAAAAAGATAATTTTTCATCTTTTTGTCTGTTTATTGTCAACTGTTTCAATTTGACATTTATCTGATAAGATAAATGAAAAAAAATCTGTTGCTGTGTGTGATACTTCCTATAAAACAAAACAAAAAAAATGACAAGATTTATTCACTATCCACATTAGATCTTACCATCCATGTCAGAATTCATGGCGAAATACTCGTCTTCTGTTTTGAAATGCAGGGCTGCAACTTGAGTGGACACTTCAGGATGAGCACAAGGATTTATGGAAACTGTAAAAAAAAAAAAAAAAAAAATAGACCAGGAGTTTGAAAAGACATTCAATCACAGATATGGACGGTGTCTTATTCATTGATGCCGCAATGCTAGGCGCTACATATCTAAATAGCATGCACGCGCATTGTGTATGCCTATTTTATGTAACATAATAGTAGCATATATATTTTTATATATGGCCCGTGTCAAAATGCACAAAATAAAGTCCAAATTAGTTTTATATCATATTATACATCTGCTGCTACTCAGTTTAGCCGCGGTTAGCTGACACACAGCTGATGAGGTAAACAAACCAAGACACTGTCCATTAGAGTGCCCTCTGAAGCACAATTCATATCCTTCGCCTAAATATATACTCATATAAATCTACAACATCCAAATTAATTATGTATATTATATCCAAACCTTTGAAATGTACAATTCGACCGGATGAAGAGGTGTCTCACTGCCACAGCGATGTCTTCTGGAGTCTGACGTCATAGCATTAACCCTTTAGATCCCACAGCAATTTTTTTTATAAAGGTAATTATTTTCCTAAGCAAATGTAGTTTTCAAAAAAACGTGTTCAAACAAACACGTTATGACTTCGTTAAACTAGTGTTCATTTCAAAGAATTGCTTCAAAACTGGTTGACTCGAGAACTGCTCGGACTGATTAAATAAAAAAAGGGAACAAATCGTTCGGTCCAATCCTAGTTTTAAGAAACGTTCAGAGCTTCTTACGGTAAGTTTTGGGGAAAGAAATTTCAAACACTGAAAATCCACGTGAAAACAATATCATAAAAAGCATTTAAAAAACGCCTTTCATCTGTTAAACTTGAGGGGGAAATTACTCATATGTCACAGGCAAATATAAGCCAGGTGCATTTCATGAGGTGTTGAAGGAATAAAATGTTAAGCTATTCATCCGAATCTTGAGTAACGTTTCTAGCAAGGAATATTACCTTTGACTCTAGGTTGCTGGTCAATTTGTTTGAACATAAAATTAAATATTTTAAACAATGTGACAATGTTGGTAACCAGAGAGTTGGCGGACTCAATTAACTTCCATTGTAGGAAAGAAAAAACTGTCTGGTCACCAGCATTTTTTAAACATTTTCTTTTGTGTTCAACACAAGAAAGAAACTCATACAGGGTTGGAACAACATGAGGGTGAGTAAATGATGACGAACTGTTTTGAAAAAAAAAAAAAATTTTGGGTGAACTATTCCTTTAATTACAAGACCTAAAGCAATACTGTTATCATCACAACAAATATTTCACTTCTGAATTAAAAACAACACAAAAACAATTCTTAAGAATGCATGAATAACACAGTTGGTTATTAATAAGAAACTTGACAAACTTGACTTGACATAACAGAATAGTTGTTTGCATTTTTGGATTTGGAAAAGAGGCGCTTGTCATGTTGCTATATATACTCTAACTATGAATAATAATAATAATAATAATAAATAAGAAAATCCACTTTGAGATACTGTCATTGCACTATAGGTTAAGTGTGCTTTGTTTTGAGGTTTAGGGTTTGTGTACAAGTCAGTAAGTAATGAGATCATGTTTGGGGTAAAAGCATGTGGTAAGATGCAAATAGAAAAATTAGAAATACAGAAAATGAATAGAAATATGAAGAAAAAGGTCTTTTTGAGCACTGCAGTTTTGACTAGTTTAGTATTGCGTAAGATTCTCACGAACGGTGAATAACATTAACTGTTATACAGACACTGATGCTGCTTGAACTGCTCAGTATCGCTGAATGTCTGGTTGCACTGAGAGCAGTGGTGGGAGTTTCGCAGTGGTGGGAGCTTCCCCGTTGCATCTCCGATGTGGATGTGCTGATGCCGTTTAAGGTATTCCACTCGACTGAATCGTTTCCCACACGCCCCGCACTCGTACGGCCTTTCACCCGTGTGGATGCGCTGGTGCCTCTCCAGGTTACCGAGACGACTGAAGCTGCGGCCACACTGCGGGCACCTGTGGGGACGCTCACCAGTGTGAACCAGCTGATGCCGTTCGAGGGACCGCGAGTGCGTGAAGCGTTTGCCACAGAGTTCGCAGTAGTGCGGCTGCTCTCCCCCCTGCACACACTCATGGTTCTTAAGGCTCCAGGCGTGGCCGAACGCTCTCCCGCACACAGAGCACTGATAAGGCCGGTCCTCGGCCGCAGGGCACGAGTGCTTCATGAGGTCAGACGTAGAGTTGAAGCCGCTGCCGCAGCGTGCGCAGAAATGCAGCATGTCCCCGCTTTCTCCTCCCGACTCCTCTTCCTTGTTCGTAGGGGCTGATGTAGGGTCTGCCCTATGTGAGGAGGACGACATACCCTGCTGAGAGCTGCATAAACCATCTAGTCCGATGAACGCCACACCTTCAGATCCACACGCCTCCTGAGACGGGCTACCCAAGCCGGACTCTGCCTCCTCGCGTTCACGCTCCGCTTTTAAGGCCGTCTCCAGTCCACTGAGCTCATCTCCAACAGTCATTGTCTCCGCCGCTTGCCCCTCCCACACTTCAGCAGCAGTGGATTCAGGGCCAGTAGAGGCGGGGCCCATTTCTCCTGCAGATACAAATACTACATTTTAGTTTGCACATTAAGGAACTAAGGATCTACATTTGATCTATGTAGCCCTCAATCGGGTCATGGGGTCTATATGACCCCAATCGACTTTTGAAGGTTCCCTTCATCTCAGTGGAATAAGATTTTGTGACTTTTCATACATTACACACATTATCTATCTATACTCACACAAAAAACTGGGCTTGATTCAGTTGTTCCAAAGGTATGTAAATTTTTTTTTACACTTCTGGTCTTCGGGGTCAATATGATCCCACATTGAAATGAATGGGAAATGTGAAAAAAAAAACTAAATATATTTTATTCATTAAAATCCAGCAAAAATCTGAAATTTTTTAAACAGAAATGAAGGCCTAGTACTAGAGCATAAATGCAATGCATCATAAAAAATAATATTTCACATGGAAGCTAATGGTGTAGTTGAGGAATTGTGTGGTGTATGGATACAAAAGTACTTTATATCTCCAAAATCACAGCATTAATGAATAGATATACATCAAAAAATATATTATTTGTATGATTTAAAATGTATATTTTTTGTACAATTACTCAAACAATTTAAAGTGTAAACAGGAAACGAAGACCATTTTAAGGTTAATACATCATTGCTGAACAAATATATTACTTTTTTTAAAAACTTACAAACCCCAATTGTTTTCAAAAATCAATTTTTGAAATAATACCTTTTTTTTTTTTTATTTAATCGCCCATCATGTTGTTCCAAACCTGTATGCTATTCTTTTTCTTTTTCCACAACAGAACACAAATGAGGAACTTCCGAAGAATTTACAATTTTCTATACAACAGCAATTCACGGTGCCCACGACTATCAACTAGCTCCAAAAACAAAACAAAAAAACTCTATATATACTGTTAATGTATAGAGAAAGAGTGTACATGTATATTGTAAGTGTAGTGTATTTCTCCTTTTGTTTCACAAAATAAGCACAGAGATTTAAAACATAAAAATGGAGTACCCAATGACAGAATTGTGATCAACTAAAATATTCCTTCAACTGTTCATGCTCACAATCACACACACACACACACACAAAAATAACACAATAATAACCGTTTTCCCAAGCAAAGCATTGCAGAGCTTACCGTGGGTGGGACTGGGGGAGTGAGGGCTGGTTTCATTGTGGTTCATCTGTAGAGCCGCTTGCAACAGCCTCAGGGAGTCTGATCTGTAGCCTTCCACCTTTATCCATCATCCCACAGAAGCAGAAAGAGCGAAAACGCAAGGTGTGAAATAAATTCCCTTTGGTCGTAATAATGCATCTCTTTTAAAACAGATAATAAACACTCATGACACATCTGAGGTGGAAGTAACCGTTATTTTAACATTTGAAATTGTTTTAATGCAATGAGACGGCATTTTAACTTGATTGGCAGGTAAGTGGGCATTCCTGAAGAAGCTGTCATATGCTTGAAGCTGTCCACTAGTGGTTTGAACAACAAGATGATAAAATGCATGAACCCTTTCTACACTATAATTAACATTGTCCAATTTTGTTCTGATCTATCTAGGGAATATGAATTACACATGAATATCATGATCTCAATCTAGAGGGAAAGACAGTGACATCAGCCCTGAAAAAAAAGTGAATTTCAGTTTCTATAATTGTTGTCAACAATGATGGGTTATATGTTTGGGCAGTTTTTGCACTTATACTTTGATTGAAATTAGTTTGAGTTTGCAAAATGGGATTGTTGTCTTCAGATCCTTCTCCTGTCCATAGCCCTCTGCATCTCCTCTCTCTCCTCCACTCCCTGCAGCTCATTCCTAACATCTGATTGGCTACTCACCTCCTCTTTAATGCCGGCCACCTCCTTCCTCTCTCCAGACACGCATATCCTTTCCTCCTCCTCCTCCCCACCTCCTTCAGTTGGCAGATGGACACTGAACACGTCCCTCCTCTCATCCCTCACTCCTCCAGTCCCCTCACCCCACGCATTAGCACTCCACTCCTTCCCTTGCTTGCCTCCTGAGAGAAAAAGATGGGAGGGGGAAGAGAGGAGAGAGGAGGACAGGAGGGGGAGGGAGGAATCCAAAAGAGGAGGAGAGGGAGGAGAAAGAAACCTGAGAACTGAGGAGCAGGGCGCCATTATGGTTTCTCTATTAAAGCACGATAAAACTGAATCGCACAATAAATCCGAGTTGGCCAGTGCGCTTACTTTGGAGATCCGTTCTTCGCGCTTTGCGCACGGTGTCGTCCGCGCCAAGCAGTCCAGACGCGCGCCGACTGGCCGCCCAGCCCATGCCATATTTGCGTTCGTTTCTCAGTTTATTCTCTGTTAGCCTCAGTCTCAATTTCAGCGCTTCGTTCTCTTTTCTGTTAAGAGAGATTTCCACCAGGTAGTCGTTCACCGTGTCCTGGAAGAGTTTGGTGATCTCGCACACGGATGCGCGGACCAAACTGTCCATGACAGCGGTCAGGTGTGCTTGAAAGGTTTTGACCGATTCCGCCATAGCTTTACTAGTGTTCAGTCGCACATATAATAAATAAAGTTATGCCCAAAAAACTATCAACGAATCGCTGTTACGCCATATATATCAGCACCAGTTATACTTCATGTTTTTAAACATCCGCTTTACAACAACACTTAATTTAAATGAGCATTTAGTCAAAATGATCCGACATCAACAGTGGCAACGGCTGTCACCCGTAACTTTGTACACAGCCAATGGAATGAACCCTGTTCCTCTATCTTAAAAGCCAGCGACCACACAAATCAAACCCTCAAAAGATGAAATTCCACTCCAGATGACCGTACAAATATCGTGGTCGGCTAAAAAAAGATCTATGTTCATGTTTTATCGGTGTTTATGCGCTATCAGCGGGACAATTTCACCCAGTCGCGACCACCCCTCTCAACTCAAGAGGTTTTAATTCTCGCCTACAATATTATTTCCGGATGTCGCGTTCTGCGCATGCGCAAAGCTACCGTAATTACTTGAAGAAAATGGACCAATGAAGGGTCAAGGCTGGTTAGCTTTGGCAGCTAGCCCCTGCTACAATTATACAACTATGCATAGAAAATTAAAACACATAAAAGAGAAAAAAATGAAATACGAAAATTGTCCTTTTTGTTGCAAAGCACTTTGATCTGCATTCCTCGTAATAATGCTATAAAAAATGAAGTTTATTATTAAAACAGATTTTCAGTATTTGATAGAAATATAAACAATAAATAAAATTGATAAATAACAAAATATTTTAAACTTTAAATTATACATAAAAAAAAGAAAAAGAAAAGATGACAGTTTGTGCATCTCTGAGTTCTTCTGGGGCTGCTTGCGCCAGCCGAGCAACAGTGGAATGCAACGGATCTACAGTCCTAAATGTGTCATACGGCGTTTTACGGTAGCCTTAGAAGTACTCGTTGCATCGTGGTTACTTCAACTTCTCGTTTTCAACCAGGGCTCACATCTGGACACATTCCCGAAGGCGTTGGTTCTTCCTTGCACTATTTAGCAGTACGTGCTGCATTGTCTCTCCGTTGCAGTCATGCCGATGTTCGTGGTGAACACAAATGTAGCAAAGGACTCTGTTCCTGCTGAGCTGCTGTCGGAGGCCACGCAAGAGCTCGCCAAAGCGATGGGCAAACCCGCGCAGGTGAGCAGACTGCATTTTTCTCGTTTAAAAACAACAACAAAAGCACATTTCTTATGCATTGACTTTGATCAGTCTGCGTGGAATGAGGGACTAAATACTGTTACGAGTCAACGATACATAGACGAGACTCTGTTATCCTCTTATCTGCAACATGTCATTGGATTACAATTGTTTTAACCCTAAAGAAGACATGTAGGCAGCAGCCTATGTATCAATATTGACTGTTTAGATTAAAACTAGTCTAGTGATGATGGGTCAGACTCATTTCCTTGAATCATACTTTCGAACGTTTCAAAGAACCAGTTCAAAAAATCCGATTCAGTGATTCTTTTACGTCATGATGCAATTGTTATCGCGTTTCCTCAGTGACATCACGTCATGAATCTAAAACATTCCAATAAATCCATTTGTTTGCACTTTTTGCTTTTTATCAAGATTTAATAATACGATTCCTCGTATTAAATTACTGTGTATTCTAGTTCAGTGTTTTGCTGCAACATTATAATAAACCAAATATGTATTTAAATCACTTGATACTAAAAGTATTTTATTTTTTTCCGAAAGAACTGAATTATTAACTGTTTAATCTTTTCTATCTTTGTATTGATATGTGATAGTATATTGCCGTACACATCATCCCGGATCAGATGATGATGTTCGGTGGAAAAGGAGATCCGTGCGCGCTCTGCTCTCTCACCAGCATTGGAAAGATCGGGGGCGCGCAAAATAAACAATACTCCAAACTTCTTATGGGCTTGCTCAACAAACACCTTAACATTTCACCTGACAGGTACCTGGAAATCACCACAATATAGCAGTGTCTCTTTTACCAGCAGAATATTTGACATAATGTGGTGCAATGATAAAGCTTTAGCTTCTAAACTTCATATACATTTTTGTTAAAATGCTTATGCATGGATTTAATATCTGCTCTTCATATTTAGAACAATTAGTACAGGTGAATTTTAGTGTAGTGTTTGTTTAATGAAACTATTGCTTTTCAGGATCTATATAAACTTTGTTGATATGGATGGAGCCAACGTGGCTTGGAACAGCACCACCTTCGGATGAAGAAAGGGATGTATGGCTGCGGTTTCTCCTCCAGCTTTACTAGGAGATGGGAACATTTGGGAGCATAATGTCTTCAGTCGATTTAGTCTTAACTTACAGCAGACACCATCTTTTGACAATAAAAGTTATCTTTAAACTGTATTGAGATGCTGTGTTTTTTTGTTATTTATGCTTCTTGAAAGCACAAATGCTCAGGAACTCATAATGCTGATAAAGGAATTGTATAAGTTATGGTCCAGATAAATTTTAACAACAAAATATTTTTCTAAATCTAGGTCCAGATTGTGATTGACATTTCCTTCAGCCTGAGGCTTATTCATTCCACTTTGTGAAAGAGCATTTGCCAAAAAAAAATTTTTATTAGTACTTAGTTCTCTTATGCAATGCATTATTTTATTCATAAAAAAACAAGAAAAGCAATTAGTTACTTTTTAAGGGAGTAGTGCAAAATTGTAACATTTCTTAAAAGTAACTTTCCCCAACGCGGATTAGCAATGATGATGCAGATTAAAGTGAGATCAAGCAAGATTTATTTGTATTAAAACAGTAAAAAAAAGAAAGAATCTATAGAGAGATAGGTAAAAGCAATCTAGAAACTAGTCAAACAGAACATGAAGAGTTTAAGAGCTTAACAGAGGAAGCCAGGCAAGGTCAATTATCCAGCCAGAACAAAAGAGCTGATCATCAGAAAACAGACGGGGAGATTTTCCCATTAGTCCATTAACATCATTATGCATCCAATGTCCAGGAACAAAGATGACTGACTAGAGGGAGAAAATAAATTAGGAAAAGATCGCTTTATTGACATTTACAAAGCTATAATATGTTAAGCAAATAAATAGCATCTTCTGACCTGTCTCCTTATAACTTCTACTTGCTGTTCAGCACTTCTTTAAGGGCAGACACCACTTCAGCAGGATCGGGAAACTTCAGTTTGCGTGGAGGACCCTTCTTAATGCCAGACCACAAAACAATCTCTGTTCAGGAAAAAGAAAAACAGAGTTAACATGCAAATTATTCTTTGGACATCCATAGATTGTGGCTGTACAATCTTGTTATTCAATGGGATCAGAAAAAGCCATGGATGAAGTATGGATACTGGTTGGCAGTCTTACCTTTATCTCCCTCCATCAGTGTGACCTCAAAGCTGTTCCGCCGAGGTTTCTCTGGATTGAGCACCACCTGAAGTTCAGGGTGCGAAGCAGCAAGTGCCTCACGCACACCTTCTGCATTCCGCCCGTAGACTCGTCAGCTTTTACTGTAAAACAAATATATAACACTGTTAAAGGGCAATATCTGCCACCTGCAAGTAATTTTAAGGGTCAATTTTACCCTTTTGAGCGAGTTTATTTTTCCTAACAAACAATAAAATCCTACAATTGATTGAATACATTCTTTTAATATGGCTATAAAATCTAAGTAGCAAAACAAAGCACCTGTAAACGCACAGAATATTATCTCACAGTGTAAACAGAACTCATTTTACATGACTAGCCATGTGTTCTCACCAATGCTCGATGACGACCCTTTGTCCTGTTTCTTCATCTTTTTTGTCTACTCCATCAAGCTTTTCTTTTTTCTCTTCCACTGCAGCTGCTTCTGAATCTATGTCAGTCTTACGCTTCCGACCACGACCTGCATGTTTAGGTGGATCACAGTGTTTTTAGTTTGCGTACGTCATGATAAACAGGAAAATCAAGGTTATATTTAAAATTGAGCCTAAACCGAGACTTTTATGAGATTTGTCTCACGTGACCTCACCTCACACAACCACATTGATTCCCACTCAAAATACAGAGCCTGACAAACAGGAAAACGCATAACCTGCTAATGTGGAGCGCTGCACAAACGACTAAGTAATCTGTTCTAGTTTCAAGACCAGATTTAAACGTTTTCAGTATTACGCACCTGATTTGGCCCGAGTCGCCATTGCCACCAGCCTGCAACATGTGAAGAGTGAAGACTGAAGAGTTTGGCGGGTTATGTATGCATGTTGTTGCAGAAAAAGTGTTGAATAATGCTGTGAAAGTTAGACGGACAGTGCCGCCTTTTGGTGTGGAAAGTCTTGGCAGTCGAGGTATTTTTTGCAGTTGGTGCTATAAGGGTGTCATGTGTTATACAGGATTATTTTTTTTTTAGTATGAGAGATAATGAGAATAGACGGTTACACTGCTGCCAAGTCATTTTAATAGAACCTCAAAATATAGGGGTGAATTCAGCTTGATTTACACTTTTTCCCAATTTATCAACCAGTGGCATCCTTGCAGACAATGATGATGATGGACAATGAACATCACATTTCAAACTTCAGATTTTACAATAGAACACATCAAATAAGCTGCCACAAATTTCGTATATTTTTTACCTTTGATCATCATTAATTATTTGAAAGAAACTACACAATGTCAATGTTAAGATACGTTTTAAGTATAGTTACTTCAGATCACCAGCAGAGGTCAACGTGACAACATCGGAAATTATTATCTTTACCTGTGTTTCATTCAAGCTTTGAGTAAATCTTTATTCAGTTATACTGTCTTGGTGGTGTGTATAAAAATCAGCACAGTTTTACCAATGTTTTGGTAACTGTTCTCAGTCGAATATCAAAGATTCAGTAACACTTGATGGTCCCTTTTGAGCATCCTGTGTTGACTATAAGTAACTTTGCAACTACATGTCAACTCTCATTAGAGTATTAGTAGACTGTCTGTTTAATATCTGCCAACACTTTATTGTGATGCTCCTCCAACAGACAGTCTACTGACTATAAGTAACTTTGCAACTACATGTCAACTTATTCTATCCCTAATCCTACCATTCTACTAAAAAATAATTCAGTGGTTTAGTAAATCTCACAGTAATAGTTAACTTTATTAACTTAATAAAAACTCTGAACATCATTTACTTGATAGTTTGAGTTGAACATGACTAAAAATTCAAGTTAATTTTGTCTAAAATTAGATTTTTTTTCACTAAAACAATTCAGTATTTGACTAACCAATTATTTATTTAAAATATACTTAATCTATTTGTGAAATTTCCATCATTTTGAGAATTGGTAATTAAACTGATCTGTTTTAAGAACCACAAATATTACTTTCTTCAAATTAATATTATTCATATTTAACACATACATAATTATCTTGTAAACATTGAAAGAAAACCATTATCAGGACCACTTGTCTTTAATTCTGAGACATATTAATTAATAAATCCTCAGTGGCCTACTGTGACGAACCACCAGCAACCAATCTTTTTATTTTAATCCTGTATACAAAAGGAACGTTAAAATCATCAGAGAAAAATTACCATAGACAGTAAAAGAAAATTACCCATTATATTTTACTTTTTATTTTTTTTAAATTTGAATTCTATCACCATGGCAATTCCTTGTATGAAGCTTACTGAACACGTATTTTAGAATATTCGGATTTTCTTTTGTTTATTTATATGAATTTTGCGGAACACAATCATATAATTAAAAAAAATCAGTCAAAATCATAGACTGTAAAAAATTACTGGTCAGAATACAGTAAATAATCTGTGCAGTGTTAGCTGCATGCGGAGAAAATGTTGGTCATTGGTCAACCATCACATGACATCATCTACACGCGACACGGCACGGCTTCATCAGTGTGGTATGTTGGTTTGACAACACTCTGGTCTGCATGGAAGAAATAAGGTAGTATTTGCAAATTACGAATAGTAGTTAGAACACTGGTTGTTTGGAATAGCGTAGATACGTTACGATATATTAAAAATAGTATTTGCAAAAGCCCAAAACAGGCTAACGGTAACAAGCTAATTCAGTGTGACATAATTCAAATAAAACACTGTTTTTGCCAAAATATTTCCCAGAGGAAACGAATTTAAGCAGGTAAAGCACAATCATTTTTTATCTTCTCATGTTTAAGAATACAAGTAGCTCTCAAATTTTAAACATTCTAGTTCTTTCTCTGTCACAGCCATGACGGCAGAAGCCTCAGACAAGTCAGCCGAGGAGGGCCTGAGCTCGTCGGGCAGTGCTGGGATTCCTGGCACACGATTCGACTTGGAGAGAGAGACAGAACTGCGTTTTGAGGTTGAAGCAGGAGAACGAGTCCAACTCGAGCTGTTTTCCGGTATGGCAGAGGTGTTCGGATCCGAGCTGAACCGAAATAAGAAGTACACGTTCGGGCCAGGCTCTAAGATTGCTGTGTTCACCTGGCATGGCTGCACTGTGGCACTTTCAGGCAAGACTGAGGTGAGAGGTTAACATGATGTCAGAGGATAATGACAAGGAACTAAGAATCAACTCAAACATGTCTGTCTTCCATACATATAGGTGGCTTATGTGTCCAAAGATACACCCATGATGCTGTATCTCAACACCCATGCAGCTCTAGAGCAGATGAGACGTCAGGCAGAGAAAGACAATGAGAGAGGCCCTCGGGTATGTTAACGGGCAATTTATTTCAAAGGTTTTATTTGAAATAAATTTATACTTTTACTCTGCAAAAAATGAATAAATTGATCAAAAATGACAGTAAAGTCAATGTTAGCAAAGATTTTTTATTTCAAATGAATGATTTTCCTTTGTTCATCAAAAAATCCTAAAAAAAAAAAAAAGAATCACAGTTTCCACAAAAATAATGAGCAGTACAGCTGTTTTTAACATAGATGATAATAAATGTTTCTTGAGCAACAAATCATCATATTAGAATGATTTATGAAGGATCATGTGAAGACAAGAGCAATGATGCTGTAAATGCAGCTTTGCCATTACAGAAAACTGTAATCAAATTGTAATAATATTTCAAAATATTTCTGGGTTTTTTTTTTCAGAATTTTGGATCAAATAAAGAAAAGAGACTTTTTCAAAAATATATTTAAAATAGAAACCCCCCCTTGAATAGTCAAGTCACCTCTATTTATATAGCGCTTTTTACAATACAGATTGCTTCAAAATAATGCAACAGGTGTGTTTCGGCTGCTCAGCAGATCTAGAAGAAAATAGCATCATAGTCCAGCTTAAGTAAGTTCAGTGGTGGTTAATTGTTTTGTAAAAAAGTTATTTAGTTCATAATACTTCATATTAGCGCTCTAGAGAAAACAGTATTGTCATCGTCCAGTTCAGTTCTTGTATAATGGTGTCAGTGCAGGCAAATCAAAAATATTGTTGAGTATAGTATTAACTGTCCCCAACTAAGCAAGCCAAAAGGTGACAAAGGCACAACAATTAATAGTGTATATATTAGGGGTGGGAATATTTAGGCACCTTGCAATTTGATTGGCTTACAATTACGATTTATAGTGCTGTAATGTGATAATGATAAAATGGTAATAAATGTATCTGGATGCATATTTTATTTTCTATAGAGGATTTCCTTTTTCCCCACTGTGTGACTATATATATAGTTAAGTTGTGGTTGTTAAACAGGGTTTGTTGTCATAGGTAATGGTAGTCGGACCAACTGATGTGGGAAAGACAACGTTGTGTCGAGTGTTGTTGAACTGTGCTGTGCGACTGGGACGAAGACCTACGCTGGTAGAATTGGATGTCGGCCAGAGCAGCGTGAGTAAAGGATGCAGATCTGCTAAACATTTCAGAATTGTATGAAATGAAACGCTTGCATGCTTAATTGTTCTTGTCTTTAGGTCTCTGTGCCTGGAACTATGGCAGCTCTGTGCATTGAGCGTCCTGCTGATGTAGAAGAAGGCTTCTCTGTACAGGCTCCACTTGTCTTTCACTTTGGCTCCACCACACCAGGAACGAACATCAAACTTTACAACAAGGTAATGGCAAAGTTGCACTTAAAGGCGGGCGTACACGGTACGAATTCTGATGGTCGGAAGATCGTATGTCCAGGCACACTTTACGAGTGAGTTTATCTGAAAATCGTACGGAGGCTGTGATATACGACACGATTTTACGACCTGCTGAATTCCGAAGAAATCGCACAAAGTTCTGCGCTAAAAACTCTCTCATAACTGCATATAAAATATTGATACAAGCCGTGATTATTTCAGCACCGGGAAACGGACGTCCAGTCACCCTTGTGTGTGTGTGTGTGTGTGAATGAGTTTAAAAAAACGTAGTTACGGTAGGCCATAAAAAAAAAAAATTTCAAGCTCTCTGAATGATTAATTAACCGTTTAAACCACCTCATGTGAGTGTTTGCAATTAATTTTGCTGCGAGAAAGCTATAGCGCAGTGAACGGGGCTTGAGTGAGCTTGAGCGCGTTGTGAGTGAGGGCGCGGGTGCCAGATCCCGTGTTGTCAGATCCACATAATGGAAAGGTGACAGTATCTGGACTTGTTTTTTGTTGTTATTAAAGTGGTTTGTAATATATTAATCTTATTTCCAAAACACAAGTTTTGAACTTATTTCAGATTTTTATATAATTTCTTTGTTTTTGCTTGTTTTTCGTAGCAATATCTGGCAACATTGTTCTGTCGGCATTAATAAAAAAAGCTAGACAAACTGTAATTTCTTTTAGGAAGAAACGAACGTAATGATCATCGTGACGTGTTAGAATCTGTAAGAAATGCATAACACTATCAAAAACAATAGCATAATAGCATATGTTTCTGAATGAAATATGCCAAATACTGGCCAGTAGGAACAAGGCAGATGCGGTTTAGTTAACCTTTCACAAAGTCATCATAAAAACATTAATTGAAGCAGTGTTTCTAGTAGTCCACACCATTTTCGTTTTTCTTCTGTGGATTTCCTCAGCTCCTGATTGGTCAAGTTCAGATAGATCGACAAATCGGCTCATTCAACCGCACACACCTCGCGAATGCAGAGCCGACAGCTCCCGAACTTTTTAGACATGCTTAAAAATTATCGGGAGGTCAAGAGGTGCTCGGCTCGGCTCGTATCTTCCTCGCACACGATACGAGCCGCGACATGCGAGCATAACCGATTTACACGCGATTTCTCCCGAGTGAAAAAAAATCATCTGCGAGCTCGTAAAACAGCAAAAAATCGCACCGTGTACACCCGCCTTAAGGGATTGTTTTCTTTATACTTCAGTCATACACTGAGCTTTGGGCCATAAATTGTTGGAGCAGATTGATCTTGGCCCCAAACTATCCTGGCACTGTTTAATCAATAATAACGAGAAGTAGTGCATTTATCTTTCACTTAAACGCAGCTATAAAGTCTCACTCTTCTTCTGTAATTGTTGATGCAAAAACAGATTTTTGTAGCAGTAACTGAGGGAAAAGTAGTACTCATTGGTTGCATTGTGACATTGTGCTCATTTTAAAAATTATTTCAGAGAAACAGTGTCGGTATTACTAGGGTGAAAGAGTTTAGTAAAAAGAATCTTAGCTTTGAGTAGTAGGACTGTTAAAGAAAACATGAAATCAAATGGTTGTTTTCCCCATTGTTTATGGTGCTTGGTCCATTAGTGCATGTTATTATAACGTTGAATACTGTTATATGATATTACATGTTTTATCTGTTTCTGTTTCTCTTTAAAAAAAAAATTTGTATTAATATTTTTGTGTTATATTTTTTTCTTGTTAAATTATGTCTGATTGTAATACAGTAATGTTCAAAAGTTTGGGGTCAGTAATGTTTTTTTAATTTATTTAAAGAAATTATTATATTTAGCATATTTTTATTTATCAAGGATGCATTCAATTGATCAAAATTAACACGGGACTGTTGTTTCTTTTACATGTTTGCATTTTCCCCCTATTTTTTCTATTCTATACTTTCTAAAAACCTTTCCTTTTATTTATTTTATTTATTTCCTTTTATTTGTTACTGAAGTAACAGGTTGTGAATGCTCTTTCCTGTTGACTTCACTTTGCATCATCCAGACATATTAAAAGAATGTGTTATTTATGTCTCTCTTTTTCTCTTTGTGTGTAGCTGACTTCATGCCTTGCTGAAGTGTTTTCCCAGCGCTGCGAAGTGAACCGCAAAGCTAGTGTGGGTGGCTGCATAATCAACACATGTGGCTGGGTCAAAGGTTCAGGCTATCAGGCACTGGTCCACTGTGCTTCAGCCTTTCAGGTGGATGTTGTTCTAGTCCTGGACCAGGAGCGTCTCTACAATGAGCTTAAACGTGACCTGCCACACTTTGTACGTGTCGTCCTTCTGCCAAAATCTGGTGGCGTGGTGGAGCGTTCCAAGGACTGCCGGCGAGAGTCACGGGACGAAAAGATCCGGGAATACTTCTATGGTTTCCGTGGAACATCTTTTTACCCTCACGCCTTTGATGTGCGCTTTTCAGATGTGCGCATTTACAAGATTGGTGCGCCCTCTATCCCAGACTCCTGTCTCCCCCTGGGTATGTCTCAGGACGACACCCAGCTCAAACTCGTCCCAGTTAGCCCAGGCAGGGATTTGACCCACCACGTGCTGAGTGTGAGTTCGGTGGAGGATGAAACCGAGGTGGGTGCGGATCAGAGCAGAGGGATTCTAGAGAGTCCGGTGTGTGGCTTTATAGTGGTGACAGCGGTGGACACTCAAGCTCAAGTGATGACGGTACTCTCTCCGGCGCCCAGACCGCTGCCACGACACACTCTGCTCATCATGGACATTCGCTTCATAGACCTTAAATAGAAGCATACAAGTATTTGTAGCAATGTTTGGTTTTCAAAGGGCTAATTTTAATATTTTTGTACATTTGTAAAAGCTGCTGTTTTATTTTTTAATACATTTAATTGCAATTTTATATGTCCTTCTGAACATACAATAAAACAAACCCAAACCAGTTTGACTATGTTATTTTGCATGCCATTTTTTCTTCTTCTGTGAAATTACATCCTTTGAGCAAACAAATTGAGCAATTATTTAATTTGACATGGTACAGTGTGTAGACACGAATCTCTTCCGGATCTCATCCCGTCTGGATGTCCTATGCCGGTGTCCAGAAATGAAGCTGGGGACGAGGAAGAAGAAGATGATGATGCCTTAAGGGTTTTATTTGTGGCTTATCAGACTCTACATCGGATAAACGACTTGGGGAGTTTTCAGCCCCGGGCGTATACACAGATCAAAAGCCGTTTCCCCGGCCGTAGCAAAACACGGAGATTAAGGGAGAGAGCGGATAGAGAGAGCTGAAGCTCCTCTCCCATCAGATATTACCACTAACCCGGGCCAGGGTGCAGAAGAGAAACCGAATCTACAAATCACAGGATGCGTGAATAAATTCCACCCATTTAAAGTACTTAAAGTGGGGATATACGACACAGAGTGAGTATATAGCTGTGGATGTCATTTATAATAAATGTGTTATTTATTTGAAAGCCTTTAGGCTCAAGTTGCTATTTGCTTTTGCTCTGTTTTGAAATCGGTTCAATAGCACCGCGTTTCAGTTTCCTTCAGTCGAGACTGTAACAAATCGAGTCCCAGGCTTGACTTAGCGGCCTAGTTAAATAGAAGGTAAAACACGATGTGAAAAGTTAAATGATCGTGTTTTACTGTGGTTTATAAGTTATTTGTGCTACTACTTAATCATTATGCATTCGTTCTGTGTTTTGAGGTATTGTTTTACTGTTTAAGGTAGTATTTTGGTGGAGGACTAACGTTATTTTCTTAACTGGGGTGATAAGCTTACGAACACGGGACAAAACCGTAGGGGGTTTTACTCTGAATTTTGCTTTAATGTTTGAAATAGTTTGTTTTTATATTCAAATACTATTGGGACTCAATTCACCAGTTTAGTTTGTGTTTTTGCTGTAGTGAATGACTGCTTCCGCTAATGAGTTGTCTACGTTACCTAGACAGCGTTTTTATGCATTATCTCTATTCAAACGTGTGCAATGCACATTTAAAGCCAAGAAATGTCTAGGTAGATGGACAGCTAAAAACAATTGTAAATGTAGATTTTTCTCTTCCTCAAAGTGCATCTATGGAGCTGTCTTGTAAACATTACAGTAGCCGGTGAAACCACATTATAGTCACTGACTCACTGTGTTCTACAAGACTGTTTAATTGTTAAACTGACCATTGTAGGTCAGTGACATCCTAATATAATTTTCCAGTTAATTATTGATTGTGTGGTCTGGTCAGATATCATCTGACATCCATCAGCCAGTTAATTATTGATTAAAATTTGATGGTCAGATATGATCTAACATGTTTATTAATTAATCAAATCAAGATGTAATTCCCTTATGAACTGAATCAGTTTTCAGGTGTTCTACTGTGAATGAAGACAGCATGAAGTAGCTGTAAGAAAAGAAGATTATGAGTCGTGTAATAAGGCTTGTGTTTGCAAGGCTCAAGGTCACTTTGTGGTCAGTGGGACAGCAAAGCCAAGGAAAAAGGGGATTGTAAACGGGGGATGGGTTTTGGGGGGATTGTATACAAAAAAACCTGGTTGAGAGAATACAGGAAAAAAAGAGGCACACCCTTTCCTGGTGAGTCAGAAGTTGTGACACAGAGAGCAGCAAAAGCATGATCAGGTTTCAACATGATGTGTGTACACATGTAGGTTTCACAATTCATTGCTTTGTGTTTCACTTTGTTCATGTGATGATCATTCGTTTGATACAGGCTGCTTATAAATGAACTGGAGATACAGGCTGCTTGTAAATGAAATGGAACCACTATGGAGACTGTCAATCTGTAAGATCTGGTCATTAAGTTCACATCTTACGTGTTTTATTATCTCCTCTTCTTATAGATACCGCTCAGGCCTGTTCTGTTAAGGAATCAAAAAGGAGCAGGGCAGCATTCTAGACACATCAGCATCATCAATGTGAGGAAAGAAAGGCCTCATGGGACACTATGCAGGGGTAAAATGGTTTGCACACTCACGTGTCACCAAGACTTGGAGTTTTCAACCCTGGACATATACGGATTGTGTGCAATTGCTGTGGTGGACACGCACTCAGCTGCGTGCGTTGCTTTTTTTCATATGAACCTCTGAAAAACAACTCTGCCACTTTATCATGTGAATATCTAAACTTGCAAGATTCGTGTGATTGCGACCCGGGAAACTGTATTTTTCTGCTCGCTTTTCTCGCAGTTTGTCTCTTATTGAAGTGTTAGAATAGATCACCCCAGAAAAGTGGAGAATGAGCTCTCATTTAGGGCACAAGACATCAAGAGCTCTGTTTTTCTAGTAATTACAATCTTTTCTTAGACGGACTGCTCCTGGGGGAATCCAGACTCCCATTGAGATTGTAGAAAGAAAGTTTTTTTTTTTTTTTGTCTTGTAGTTATTTTTTTCCTCATAATTTTGTTTCATTTCAAAATACAACTACCTCCCACCAAAACCTTTTCCCTTTCTGTAGTCTGACATCATACTCGCATCCGATCATCTGCTGTGATGCTTTAAGAAATATGAATTTGGTCTCTGCATGAGCGATATACTGTATGAATGGCTGAACTCAAATTGCTGCTTCCTTTGAGCTCTTTTTGGTGTAACATAAGGCTTACCAGAGATTTGCACTAAAAGAGCTTTGCTGTTGCTTGATTTTCCTTTAATGACCAAATCTTGTTGCATTCAAGCCATATGAACTTATTTTTGATTAAACTAGAGCTATTTTTGTATTACAGTAAAGTCATAGTATCACAAATTATGTGTATATGAAGTAAGTCTATTTTTTATGTGTCAGCACAGACGTATACAAAAAAACATCAGCACTATTTTTGCATTAACATCTGATTTAGGAAAGGAATTCACCTTGATTAGTGAGAACAGAATTCTCTTTATATCAGTTTCCCTAAAGTTATTATGGCCATAGCTACACACCATCTTCACTCAGGTGAGAGACAGGCTTTTTTCTCTCTCTGACAGCTTCCCCTGTTCCCCAGTTTTTTTTTTTTACTCCTCAAATGCCTGTGGGTCTCAGTGTGGGCGGGGCTCTTGGAGACCCCTCCCCATCCCGCCCATTCCGCCCCAGTCGCTATGTGCCTGTTTCCGCTGCAACCGCCTTCCTTGTGGGGGCCACTACACTGTTTCTCTGTTTCACGTGAGTAGAACCTAAATGCATTAATACAGAAACTCAGTGTCTCAGTATTACTGTACGTGTAATGAGAGAAATCTCTGTGCAGGTGTCCATGGCTGTCAGAGCGGATCTCCTCCACCATTCCGCTCTATAATGCTGTGGTCTTTCTCTTCACACTGGCCAATTTCTGTATGGCCACATTCATGGACCCTGGCATCTTTCCAAGAGGTACACACTTCAGTTTTTTTGTAATTTATATTGAGAAAATGTGAGTAAATCCTGCTTAGTTGTGTGAATGTGGGTGGATCTGGATATAAGGGGCACCTCATTGTGACCAAAAGGGCACTTTCGCTTTCACTTTCACGATTAAAGGGGTTGGGGCTAAATATTTAACAATATTATTACTGTTGTTACTGTATTTTTAATTAAATAAATGCAGTCTTGGTAAGACTTCTTTCAAAAACATTTAACACATTTTTATTACCCCAAGCTTTTAACTAGGCATGCACTGATATGAAAATATCGACACCGATAACCGATAATTCTATATAATTGAAAGCCGATAACCGATATATTGGCCGATAAATCCAAATTTTTATAGAATTTTTGAGAGCCTGATTACAGAAACGAAAGTCTCAATCTCATGTCCCAAGCACACAATTATAATGTTCTTGGGATAATTTTATGTAGCCCATATGACAGTTGCACTTAAGTGTATTTTCCTTTTTTGAAGTAATTCCAATCATATTTCAAGAAATTCAAAACCATCATGGCGAACAGTGCGCACACATCTAAAGTGTCTCAGCTGAAGGAAATAATCTATTATTTATCGGCTTTAATATATCGGCCAAAATGTCTTATTGGGCTGATAATGATAACATTAAAAATTAACATAGGCCGATACCAATATGGTGGCTGGTGTATTTCATGTGTCATAAGAAAAATAGGACCTGGACAGTATTTATTGTGTTTGACCTGTGACGTGTGCGCACATGTCTTACAGCTGAGGAAGATGAGGATAAAGAGGATGATTTCCGGGCTCCGCTTTATAAAACGGTGGAGGTGAGGGGCATTCAGGTGCGGATGAAGTGGTGCTCCACGTGCCGCTTTTACAGACCACCGCGGTGTTCACACTGCTCCGTGTGTGACAACTGTGTGGAGGTACCCACATTTTCATGTAGTTTCACACTAAAGTCTTCAGTGTTTTGGTTATTGTCTTGACTTTAGACTCTTGTCTAAATGTGTGTATGCATGTGTGTCTGTGTTTAGGAGTTTGACCATCACTGCCCATGGGTGAACAACTGCATTGGGAGGCGGAACTATCGCTATTTCTTTCTGTTCCTGTTCTCGCTCACTATTCACATTATGGATGTTTTTGGCTTCAGTCTGCTATACATCCTCCATCACACTAAACAACTGGACCAGGTCCACGCTGGAGTCACGTATCCTTTACACATAAAGCCCTCACATATGCATGTGCACATAAATACACATGAACCTGTTCTGTTGGTATCCTTAACACGCTACTCAGTATGGCAGTGATGTGTGTAGCTGGTCTGTTTTTTGTCCCGGTTGCGGGGCTCACTGGGTTCCATGTTGTTCTTGTTGCCAGAGGGAGAACAACCAATGAACAGGTGTGTCTTTTGCCCACATTGTACGTGTTCAGTCGAACAGAATGATGTTATTTTTCTGCCTGATTTCCAAGGGCATGTTTCCAATATTC